ATTGCAAGGTCTTTTTTTTTGTGGCTACCGTAGTTCTTTGTTGAATGCAGGCATGGCATGCCAGCACTGCAAGTCTGTGGGCAATGAGGCGTTGCCTTTATGGAACCATACTGGTAGGAACTGGGAATAATAGACTGGGCGTTGCCAGACTACAAGTCCAACACCATGATAATCAGGAACCATGAAGAGATGTGGGAAAATACCTCCGTTTTGTGCAACACAATGAACTGTCTAGTGGACCCTATGAATGTGAAAATATTCAATTTTACCAGAAAGAAAAGAGAAAAAAAGTGTCCACTGAGTTGAACTTCAGCTGAACTGAGCTTCATCCTGTGTTCAGAAGTTAGAGTTTAATTAAGGCCAAAAAAAACCACCCTAAAACAAAAAAGAGTTGTTTCCGTTTACATTTTCAAAAAGGAAAAGGTCGGTAGGTTAGTTTTGTACATATGGGAATACAACTGGACAAGTAAAAATATTTATAAGACGGCACTTTATCGCATACTTTCAGTTACCGGTACTGCATACTTGTATTTTGGGGTATTTTTTCACTTCTCAAAACTATACGTTTGTAAATGAATGAAATTTCAAAACATAATAAAAAGTTATGAACAATGAAAATAAAATATCAACACTTAACCGTCTATTCACCCAAATTTTTTAGGATCGGTAGGGTCACAGCATAATTTTTTTTTTTTGGCCTCATGATATGTATGATGAAAAATAATTGTGTTCTTGTTAAATTCCTCCAGCATTTTTACTTGCATTTCATAGGATACATGTACATTGTAGTTAAGTTTCAGTTATGGGAAATACAATCAGCTATCAAATAATTTCACGCATGCATGAATGAGTAGATGGTTCAACTCAATTTGTACTTTTCATGCATGACGTCCCTCAGTCCTGTTTGTCCTACAAAAAAAGGGCTTATTCGCTAAACCAAGATGGCCGAATAAACTCTGCATTGAAGGTAAATTTCTGGTGTTCCCTCATGTTTAATAGGGGATATTTTTACATTGTTTGTACCGTATGTAGTGCTCCAACAGTAGCATCGTCCTAATGTACAGTTGGGACATGTACAGTTGGGACTGCCCCACTGTAGTTGGGCCACTGCTATTGTTGGGACATACCGGGGGGGGGGGGGGGGGGGGGGGCACTTACCGTATAGTGTATGTTGGATGTAATATTCTTGTTGCTGTCTTAACAGCCAACCTACATGTACCGGTACATGTGCACAGAAAGCATTATCAACTTGTAAGAATTTATTGGTGGTTGCTTGACGAAGCCAAGAAACCCACAATTTTTCTTTATTAGATATCATGTTTTTTTTTAGTAGTGGCTGAATTTTATCCATAGTGCTGGACTCTTTTATAGAGATTCTTGCTAGTTTGAAAGGGGTTTCCTCAAATGCACCACGTTGCATATGAATTATCTCTCATATACACTGCGTTGCATATGTTGTAGACATGTGAATGAAGGGTGTCTATAGGGCCTGCGCTTGGCAACAGAGAACTGCAACCTCTCAATCTCATGTCTGGCTCACAGTATTCAAAAGTTCAGCTGCAGTGATTTATTTTGTTACTTTGCATGATAAATACCCAAAACAACTGTTGACTGCTGTGATGTGGGATATGTCCTTTTTGACCCCTCGAGGTGCCCAGCACCATTGGCCCTTGGGTGTTAAAATAATGCCATATCCCACATCACAGCAGTCAACAATTGTTAACTTAGCGCCACATTATTATTATATTCAATCTACATACAGTTGCATCATCGCACATGTCACGTACACAAGCCAGATGTGCACTCACAGAACACTAAACTTGTTTTTACTTGTTGCTTTTCATACAAATCTGAAATGTCAACATGTAAGGGCAGCCTTCAAAATTGATTACGCGAACTGTTCGCGAACTTCGCGAATATTTCCAGAGCTAGCCAGTTTGCGAACTTCGCGGAGCTACTCATCCATCCGTGGTCAAGTTAATGAGGTAGCGCGAAACTTGCGCCTTTGTTATGTTAATGGTCGTACTGAATAATTCACAGCACTTGCACGTCTTATTATCATAACGCGAAGTCAGCGAACATGCGTGCCGATGTATTTTCCAGAGACTGTTCGCAATCAGTGTCCAGAAGTAGCATGTGAAATGTCGATTTTTTTATTGCAGGAATTAGTCAAACAACCGAACGGATATTTGGACAACTTTCTGTTTTGGTATTATATAGATGTTTCGGTATTATATAATGCAATCACTCAATTGTCAAAAATAAAGTTGAAGGAAACACCAATTGTCCAAAAACAAATTAACGTAAAAACACGAAAGATCGTTTTAAAAGATCGTTTCAAAAACTTTTCTCTCCATTAAGTGTAATAATTATTTTGATTACTTTTTTACAATACTACCCGGGAACCTAAATTACGGTATTATGCTTAACACGGTTCAAGTAAATGAAACATTAAATGATTGAAATACATTGTACATGTAATTATTTTTATTACCTTCGGTTTAAAAATGAACCGAAAAAGGTTTGGAAAGAAATGCGAATAAACTGAAGACAACTGTTGATAAACTCTCTATCGGGAAGTACAGAAACTGTCACTCATGAATTTTTACGAAACCCACACGTCACTAAAATATCCTTGGCAACATTGTTACTATAGATATGCCTTGCGCAAGACAACCTATATATGGGATGTGTGGGCGGGTCTTATTGTCTATCAATCAAATCAGTTTGGCGCGAACGTTTCCCAGCTCATCTCATTGGTGGTGAAATGTCGTCATGACGATAAACCTGTCTGTCTTGCGCAGCGCCGGTGACAATTTCAAGTTCCCACGCCCTTATATTTTGGCGAGTAGCCAAACTGACCAGAATCCTTTTGCGCCAGACATGACAAAGCATGCGGGCGTCGTTTGGAGCTGCCGACGGCTGTTTACTGTACAGGTTGTATCAGGCTACGTAGCTACGCGGAGTTCGCGAACCTCAGCTGTGCTGCCGTCGTGTTCCCCGTGCCAACATACATCGACCAACGTATAAAGGTTGCATGGGACCTGACTTCCAGCGCAACGTGTGCTCAGATTAATAATGCCCGTTCCTTTGGGTCGAACTCCTGACTCATACTTTTTGCCTCAGAAGTAGGGTCGGTCAATCTACCATCTGTAGGATAGGTTTTTTTTAACATATAATGCAATGAAAATAACTTATCACTGATACTAATACCCAACTCACAAGTGGACGGTAGTCCACTTTCACCAGAAATTAATTATACCCAATGCCAACTCTTAAAGGCCAGTCCGAATGTGAGACAAGACTAGCAGCCACTTCCCCTGCGTGTCCCGTTCCTATACTTTCCGTATTACTTTCTTTGTTTTTGTAAATATTTTCTTTCTTTTTGTAAAAACATGTACTGTATTGGATGAGTATTATCGGGCAGAACGGTCTGGATGACATGTTATTATTGGGCCTACCCCCCCCCCCCCCCCAATCGTAATTTCTGGAAAACTTGTTGCATTTGTACTGACCGTACACATGTAGCTCCTGTGGAATATTTTTATCCACAAATGAGCCGAGGCGAGTGTTGCTATACCCTTCATCAAGAAACGGGTGGTCTTACCGACAATGAATTATGCATGTTTCAAAAAGTGAAGTCGGGCCAGGGAGGTAGTTTCAGATCAGTTGATAAAAAAACCCTTTGTCCATTAAACCCCTTTATCGGCACCACATTTTCAATTGACTCGACTGTACATTGTACCCATATTAAGTGATCGTACTATTCAGCAGGCATGGTGATGCGATTCTGCAATTTTCTGGATTGAAATAAGAAGTTGATAAGACAGTTTTATAATTTTTTGTCACCAGATCTAGTATATAGATGAACATAAAGGCATCCGCGTTCTGATCATCCTTTCCAAACTATACAGACTATTTCCCGGTAAATAAACTCATGGGAAATTCCCGCGGGAGGTTTTCGCCCCACCGCCACCCCAGCAACCGTGCACACTAGACACATTTATAATAACTCCCGTGAGCGAGAAGCAGTCGTTCCACCCTCGCAATCCAACCCCGGGAAATGTGCCAAAATGTTTGTGTATGGGCGGCCGGCCGGACGCACTCAGACAATTTCGAGAAAAAAAATACCCTCACGTTTCTCGTAGATGATGGATGGCTTTGAGAAAAAAAGCTCACTCGTGAAATTCACCACAGTAATAGTTTCGTAAAAGTAGCTGTTCAACTGAACTTACCCATATTCAGTACAGTATATTTATTGTGGAAAATATTCGCAGCTTTTTATTAGTTTATTTCGTTTACGCTGTCGGCCTGAATGACAAAAATTCATGTACATGAACAGCCATGTAAATAACTCGGGACTTTCCCATTTTGAGCACGCAATGCATGAGCACGCAATAACCGTAGTCAGCTCCAGGCCGAACAATGCACTGAGGTTATGGGAACACATGCACATGTGATAGGGCTCCCGCGAACATTGCAGAGTCTATCACCTAATGCAAAGAAGCACCCGTATCCAGTGAGAAATGACACGAACGAGGTGCAGAATTTTGCCTTCCTTGGCCGACTGAGTCTTCACATCATAGATCAGATGAGTCTACATGTTGTTGATGTACTAATCATCTTGCCTATAGTACTGTAGCAGTAGCAGACCAACTCTGCAGCCGCCCATGATACGTGTAGTGTCTACATTCCCATTATTATTATGCCCAATTCACTTCGATGTGTATCAATTATCATACAATTTAAGGTAATCGTGTATATTATAATAATTATAGTTTTTGATTCCCGTTCATAAATCAAAACCCTGCCGCCTAGCTCATATTCAACATAATATCTTGGTGAACTTTGAGTTCAATGATGCAATAATAAAGTAACTTACTAATTTCATATTTATTTACTCATTGAACTCCAGTGTAAAAGAACAATCATATTAGAAATGTACAGATCCTAATGTGTGCACTGAGGCATGGCACAGTATGTGCAACTTAAGGCATTCATTTGTAATAGAGCCTTCACTGTAAACGCACCGTGTATGTTTTGTGGTGTTGTGGTATAAGGAAATATACCGGTACACTGTTGCACTTGCAGCCTGATTTTACACACGTATCAGAAACAGTCTTGGCAGTCTAATTTGATTGTGGATCTATGCGTCTTGTTTGTTCTCTATGGGCTCCATGCAAAATTGTCTCCTGAACGGTAAGAAAGGGAGAGTTGGGGGAAACCACTGCCCAGGAGAGACAGATCGAACGCACTGCTGACGCGCTTGGCGATCATGTGAAGACACTTGATACTCACACGAAGACACTTGACACCCGTACACTGAGACGCTTTGTGCACATTCAAAATAAAATTGGTTGTGCGTACTTTGCACTGTTATGAGCACCAACCATTACATGCATGCGATATTTCCTGTTCACAAGGCTCTCAAGAATGGTAAAAAAAGCATCCTCTCTTGTTCACGCGCGGATCCCATAACTGTTTAGTATTATATAGCATGTCTTAAGGGAAATAGTCAAAGTTACTGGTACATTGGTGTTAGCTTATTTTGACTACCTGGCTCCGCTTTTTTGTCGGGAGGTAAATCTGTATCTTTTGGGCACTGCAACTCGTCATTTGATTTGAGATTCTCTTTGTTGGTGAACGGAAAAGTTGGTGACCGATTATGGAAGAAGCATGAAGGCTCATGAATATGTACAATATGATGTTATGAATAATTTGTTTCCTTTTATATTCCAGCCGGAATTCACTTCATGGAGGAGAGAATTCTCAGCATTCTACATTGATGGAAGCTGCAAACTGTCGTTTGAATCGAGATTCTCTTTGCTGAGAAAGTTGGTAGACGGAAATAGTTGGTGACCGATTATCGCCACCATGGGCTACCTCAACATGTACACCATGGGGGGCCTGGCGGCTTTTTTAGCCGTCTCCTACCAGCTGGGCTTCGTCCGACTCACCAACGTGACCTCGGTGCTGGTGTACCTAGGGGTCACCGTGGTGGGGTTCCTCATGGGGTTCGTCATGGTGGCGTTCTCGGGCAAGAAGCGCAAGCCGTCCGTGCTGGCCAGCCCCTCGCCCGCGGCCAACATCCTGGTCAACAAAGTCATGGTGAGAATTTTCTGTGTTTTTTTTTTTTTTTAAAGTATGTATGTATTTGTTTAAGTCAGGTACTTTGATGGATCACAAGTCTTGTCACAAGTGAATCACGAGTCTATTCACAAATCCAGTCAAGAAAAGAAAGTAACAGGAGAAAAACTACAACAATCATAGACAGATTTGTTGCTCAGTTTTATGTACATGATATGTAATTTGTTTTTAACACTGTCCCAGTGATTTTGAATTTGTACCTCCAAGGCAAAAAAGTACATGTAGTTCTGCTTCCGATAACATGGCATTTGAAAAAAGGGTAGGTAGGTAGGGAAGCTTTTTTGGGGGGGGGGGGAGGGCGATTTTTATTTGTGAACAATCATATGGAGGTGTCTGTGTGTACATAGCCCAAGGTAAAAAGTAGTAATCGATGATTTTCAGGGTTTTTTTCTTCTCATTTCCCCCCCCCCAAAAAAATAAGAGTTGGGGCTATCAATATAGGGTAGGTAGGGTAACCGGAAGCAGAACTATTATTTTACTTTGGCCTAAGCTTCTCAATTAATTCAATACAAATGTTTCTGTGATGCAGTTTTAATAGTTCCACTTTTCTGTAGGCCACACATTTTTTTTTATGTGAGATTCTGTGGTTGTAAAGTGATTCTTTTTCCAGTGGCATTGAAAAATACTGCTTTATAACCTCAGAATTCCTATTTAAAAAGAAACACATCAGTGTTTTTGTTTTGTTTTTTTGTTTCAATCATTGTTTGAAGGTTTTGTTTGTTTATATCGACAGGAAGTGTTATCGCGCAGGCAGCGTCGGCCGCGGGGAACGGTGATCTCGCGCAACATGGACAAAGCCGTCAAGGAAGGTAGGCCCCTGCTGTTGATGTTTATTGTAAAAAAAAGTCACAACATTCATGTATTTCTTTGTGTGGAAGTTCTTAGTGACTCTGAAATGTATGGCAATGGTTTGGTTAATTTTTCATAGTTTTTACCCAGGTAGAACTTTACCCACGTACAAAATGTGCATGTGTGGACCTGTTTTGAAGCCGTTTAGAATTCTTAATAGCATGAAAGGGGTTGCACCAATATTGGGCTTCGACATGGCTCCAACACAGAGAATTTGGATAATGTGAGAGGGCATAGGTGCGATGCAGACATTCCCATAGACAAGGGCAGATCCAGGGGGGGGGGCCAAAGGGGGCCGTGGCCCCCCCCAAAACGAAACCAATTTTTTTTTAATTTTATGTGACATCGCAATAAAGGCAGGCAATGAGTACACCACCATCTTTTCCTCAAAAAACATTGGTTAAAGTGGTCAGAAATTGCCTCAGATCGCACCACAGAGCATCTAGAATCCAAAAAAATTTTGACCCACTTTTTTGGGGGACCACATTTTTTTTTGGCCCCCCCCCAAAATTGTGTTCTGGATCCGCCCTTGCCCATAGACACCAATGATAAATGTCTCCACTTCACAAAAAATCAGGAAAAATACTACCAACTCTCACAGGTTTTTTAAGAAGACATACTTTAAATTCAAAAATACTTGACGGTATTCGTTATTAAAAGGGCAAGTTGCTGAACGTGTTCCTCAAGATTGCCTTTGTTTGATTTTTTTGGTCAAAGGCCAGGCAGAGTTGATCCAAGAAAGTGAGTCATCTTTTAATTTTCTCGCGACCCTGGGGGTTTTATCCGAATGTCAAACAGGTTACTGAATTATTCATTAGTTTTTGTTGAGGAAATCTATTAGAGGCTTGTAAGTTGTAGCAAGGTTGTACACACAGAACGTTTTGTACAAACTGGTACGTGTACATATGACTGTGTGTGTTGTCAGTGTTTGCTTTTGAGTCAGGAAAATAAGTTTAATCTGCATTGAATACTGTTTACAAAATAGAATTATTCATTTCTGGGAAACGTTTACAGGAAAATGTGTGTGGTTGGCAATTTTTTCTGTGAAGCCATACCATTTAGGTTTGTTTACTGTACTGGTATTTATACTTGTACACGTCGGATAAAGTCCTTCGAATGATATTTGAGACACCATGGTTTAATAGTCTTTCAAGTAGTATGTTGAACATTGGAACTTCTGTATTCCAAAATGTTTCCATCTTTAAATGATCCTGTATTATTTTGAGAGAATTATATTTGGAAAATGAAGAAATTTCTCAAAGTTTGCCCCCAAAATGTCTTTGTTTTCGTAATTTGCAATATGGTATTGGTACTTATAAAAGTCATATCCTTGGGAATTGTTTATCTTCTAAAATCTTCATTTAATCTAAACCCTCAGAAATACTTCAAAATCGACCAGGAGGTTTGGGATTTTTCAAGAATGAGATAAGAACCCCCCCCCCCCCAACTAAAAAATATCTGTTTTTGGTAATGCCCCCCAAAAAGTTTCAGGTACTAGGTGGGAAAATGATTTTATTTCATAACTTCTGTCATGCTTTTTCTGTCAGTCTTTTATACTGACTTTGTTTACTTTAGGTACCTTTGACGAGATTATATTTAGTTAACCTGATTAATTCTTTAATGAACCAATAACAAACACATACACAAAACACTTGCATGCATAGGGAAGACTTTTTTATTTCAAAGATTATTATTTACAATTTTTGGCTAAATGTGGCATTATGGTATTGGTACTTATAAAAGTCATATCCTTTGAAATTGTTTATCTTCTAAAATCTTCGTTTAATTTAAACCCTCAGAAATACTTCAAAATCGACCAGGAGGTTTGGAATTTTTCAAGAATGAGATAAGAAACCCCCCCCCCAAAAAAAACTAAAAAATATCCGTTTTTGGTAATGCCCCCCCAAATTTTCCAGGTACAAGGCAGGAAAATAATTTTATTTCGTAACTTCTGTCATGCTTTTTCTGTCAGTCTTCTGTACTGACTTTGTTTACTTTAGGTACCTTTAACGATATATATTTAGTTAACCCTATTGAACCAATAACAAACACACACAAAACACTTGCATGTATAGGGAAGACTTTTGTATTTCAAAGATTATTATTTACAATTTTTTGCTAAATGTGGCAACTTATTATAAAAAAATTTACCAGGTAGGTCGGAAATTTTGTCCACAAAAAAATCCAGGTTCATGTGGATCATACGGTAGATTAGACACAACATATCTATGTCCTTTTAGAGCAAAGCTCCTGTTTTGTTACACGAGGCTCGATGCCCCTTGCAAGTTTCAGCATAAAAAAAACATGCCATTGGTTCATATTGGTAGAATTTGCAAGATAAGAAACTTTTGTTAAACAAAAATCCAGGAATTTGGTTTTATCCAGAACCACCCATGTCAAAATCTAAGTCGTTATTCTTAATGATTCATCATAACATTATCTTCCCCTGACAGTTTTCGACATGATTGTGAAGGACTTTGTGATGAGCTGGTACACGCAGCTGGGACAGGATACCAGTGAATTCACAGCTGCATTAGAGTAAGTGGAAAAAAGTCTAATGGGCTGTGTTCTTGAACAAGTGAGGGCGCCGTAACAATGCCATTTAGGGATACAAACAGGAATCCTAGGTTATCCTAGGTTAGTTTACATGTTGTTATTATTCAAAAACTACATTTTTTATTTAATCTTTGATTTTTAGATTGATTTTTTAAGCTGTTAATTGCTTCAATACATGTAAGTGTGATATTTCTACCGTTTGTTCCCCCCCCCAAAAAAAGACGACATTACGGCATCCTAAAACATGGTGTAATTCGCTCTTTTCACACTCCGCCATTGCGCATGCACAGCCTCGATCTGGCAAATTTACCCAATGAAAATAGCCGGTTCAGTGATCTGAACCCCGACACGGGAACCACTGAACCGGCTATATCTATTGTGTAAAAGTTGTAAGATCGAGGCTCTGCATGCCCATGGCGGAAGTGTGAAAAGAGCGAATGGTTCACCATTAGGGATTTTTGGAACCAAGGTTTCATCTTAGTTTCTGCTGCACAAGGTTTTAGGCCTCGGACTTTGGGAATTCACATTCTGCCTAAAAGCATGTATGAGATTATTTCCTTTTCATGAATTTTGTCCGTATCCAATTATAACACCACTCAAAATCCAAAGAAGAATGTGCAGAACCTAACCTGTTGAAGTTTCAACTCGGCGGATATTACACTTTTCGAGGAAACAGTGAAAGACCATGCACAACTTTTTGATCACTAAACACGATTTTTTTCAATAGCACTCTTTATTTCCAAAAATCAGTCGCTTGACTGCTCGTTGGAAATCACCTACATTTTTGATTTCTTCTCAATGACAGCAAGCCAGACTGAATAATTTCACGGGATGTTTTAGTACTAGTATTTTGATAATAACCTAAAACTTTAGGGCTAAATGCAAATGATCCCATACCTTTTAAACTGTGAAGCTTTACAATGTGAGACCCAATGTTAAGATTATTTCCACACAGTTTTTCTTATATTGAAGGCTTCTAAATGCCTCTAGTGCCAGAGGTGCAGGCGAAGCTGGAGATGAACCCGTAGTTTCAAAAACCTCCATTGCTCTGCCCTTTTTACACAATCAAAACGATATCATTGTGTTTGAATTTGCTGTCCTTGTGGCATAAAGGAAAGTTGGGTTTCACAATGAAAGTCCGCCTTCCCGACGTTTGTTGTTTTGACCTTGTGGGTAATCCATTCATTCAAACTTCTTTGGGTGACCATTATCCTTGCATTGAGATGTGTTTGAAGCAGAGTTTGTTGTAAAGTCAATAATGGGTCAGTCGCAAGTCAATGACAAGCTATTCAATTGATCTGTGACAATTCCGTTGTCGTTGATCATTCTCTGTTACTTGACCTTTTGACCTTATGGATATAGCTCCAGTTTAGGATTTTGGCAGCAAGTGGTAAACAGAACGTGGGGAATTGGAAATATGTACATTATGACCCTAAAAAAGAATTAGAGAAGAAAAAATAATATGACCCAAAACTGTAAAATTTTGTGTGAATAATTTCGGCCACAAACGAAATGATTATAACTTTGCTGTCAATGCCAAAGTCTACTATTTAGCGTGCACATTTTGATATTGTGTTTTGCTCTTCACTGGCGCATTTTTTTTCAGTTAAAAAAACCTTTCATGTGAGATATTATTGTTACTGTTCATAATAGTTATATAATATTGGATGGCTTTGAGGTGGATACAAGAATATATTGCACGAGCTATGACAATATTGCACGAGTCTAAAAATATTGTCATAGCGAGTGCAATATATTTTTGTATGCACCGAAAAAAAGCCATCCAATATTACATGTATTATTATTATTTATATCAGGCTGACTTGATCCGCAAGAAATACAATTCAAGACACTGTCCTCATTTCATCTTTTTCGTCAAACTATTTGAAGCTGCCACTTTGTTGACAACAGTGCGCATATACCTGGCCTGCTGCGCGCTGCATGTGTGCAGCGTTTTCCGTGTTCGACGGTACGCGCGCGTGCTACGCTCTGTTCAGTGGTTGACAACTGTGACTTTCTATGCTCTTGATCGTGCGGGAACCAGCGAAAATGCCCGGATGACAACGGGGTACTTTATTATTGCAGTCATCCGGGAACTTTTTATGAAAGCATACAATACGCTGATTTACTTTTACCGCTGGAAACCTGATATAAATAATAATGCATTATGTACGTGGGTCATTTTGTAAATTTGGGGTCCACTTTTGTTCCTGTCCATGTTACATCTGACATCTGAGTTTATAATTCTGATTTTATAATTCTTTAATTATGATTTTATTATTTTGTAATTCATATTAATTCTTTCAGTGCCCGCGAAATTTGAAATGTGTAACCCTTAAAAGTGCCCAACTTCGAGCGTTTTTTTTAATTGTTCAAAGTTCTGTAAAAAAAAAAGTAAATAAGTTTTACTCACTAAATTTGTTGTTGTTGCTCTCTGGTATTTCCTTTGTACATTGGAAAGTCAATAATAGTCACGTACGTACATAGTGATACACCCTGAAACACTGTCCTGCACACAGGCATGACAGGGGAATTCCACACTTTTTGCAGAAAATACGAGTGTCAGTGCTGCGCCTTCTTGCAAGAACTCGAATGAAACAAATAAATACAGGTCGTACCTGAATGAAAATGATATTATTAGAAAAAGCGAGAGCGCCCCCTTGTGATATCATGCTTACTCTGCCTCGTGGGTACATGTACAAGGTTTGGCGATTTTAAGTACGAACATTACCTCGTACATGTACGAGGTTGGCAATTTCGAACTAACAAATATACCTCGTACATGTACGACTTTGGCACTGAAAGAGTTAACTTTCTGCACTTAGATTTCTCAGGCCCCTCTGAATTTTGACATTTCTGCAAATTTTAAAACGAATTCTGATATTCATACTCCTATGATAATGTTTTCCATTGACAAACAGAATGCTTTTTTGTTCAGTTCTCATTTCTTTTCTCTTTGTCTCACTGCAGGGAGGACATGTGGGAGTTTTTAGAAAATCTTTCGAAGAGATTGAAAAATATTGACGAGGCAAGTAAACACTATGTAATTTCAAATGATACCAGGGCCCAATTTCATAGAGCTGCTTAAGCACAAAATTTGCTTAAGCACGAAAAAACGTTGCTTAGTAAAATTGGGTTACCGGCCAAAACTCCATGTGATGGACATTGCTTGTGACTGGTATTTAGCGGTTGTTTACTTAACATAACAATCACATGGAGTTTTGGCCGGTAGCCTGATTTTATTAAGCAAGACGTTTTTGTGCTTAAGCAAATTTTGTGCTTAAGCAGCTCTATGAAATTGGCCCCTGTACATGAATAACTGGTGCAGTTATAAAGATTGATGATGTTGCATGTTTACGTTAACACACTTGATATATGCGTGGTTGCTATAATTCGTCAGAAGCTGCAATCGGCTGAATGAGAACGTGTCCCGGACGCTGATTTTGGGTGCAATTCAAAACATGACTCTTCAATTTTTGAATTAAAATCAAGATCCTAGAATATTGTTTTCTCAGAATATACAGCATTCACTACGCTATTCGTCAGGTTTAGTTGTTCAGCACCCTTCGTTAGATTTTGAACACTTTTGTTGCTTCAAAAATGCACAAATGACAAATGATCTACCCTACCGTTATATGAACTCCATTCACAAATACTCTTACAATTGAGGAGAACAAATGGATTTGATTAAAAAAAAGTCATTTTTTACTTATTTATATTATGTTCTTATTTTCGTAGAACTTTGAATTTTGTTTCTGTCCTTTAGGTACGCTTTTTTACTAGCGACATCGTCTTTAAATTCAATGATCATTTTGCCGAGTTGAGGGAAACTACCGTCAAGTGAGTATTGTTTCCTTGCAAATCGTAAGCAAGTTTTTAATTTTTTTGTGTAGTTTTTAGGACTGACTATAGTCCTGACTGACTGACTAATCGTCATTTGTGACATAGCCTGGTTGTTGGCCTGTAAAGAGAGCCGGGCAGTGCTATTGTATAGGATTACCCCGTAAAAGTCCGGTCCCTTGTGTCAGATGCATGAAAAGACTTCCATTGAATTACCATTCTGAATAGAATATTTTGCACTTTAAGGACCTGTTTTACTAGGCCTAGGCTTGACATGTTTTGTGATATAGTTATTGTGCTGTACAAGAAAAATGGACTTGGGGGAAATTAACACCGAGGGATCATTTATTTTAACTATTTTCCCGCAAAAATATGATGCATTTACTTTACTATACCTTATAAATATTCATCAGGCAGCTGCGGTATTTCATTGGTTCATTCCACTATGTTTTTGATCGTGCAGTACAGGGGCGTAGCACCGTCATTTTTATTGGGGGGGGGGTAAAATTTTTTGAAAAGGGCACTTGCACATCCATTGTGAAATGTAGCCAGGTTTTTTTTCTCCGGTTGGGGGCGCTGTTCAAAACCGACAATTATGCACACAAAGAGCCAATATATGGTGCTTTTCAGGGCGATACATGTGCGAAATTGTGAAAATGGCACCAAAAACGGCAGATGCCACAAAAAAGGGCACCACTTCTTTTTTGAAAAGGGCACTTGTTCAGAAAAAAATGGCACTTCGTAAAAAAAAGGGCACTCTTTACAAATTATCCGGGGGGTAAGCACGTTGAAAAAAGGGCATTTGAATGGAAAAAGGCAGTCTTTACAAAATATTGGGGGGGGGGGTAAATACCCCCTTACCCGCCGCTGGCTACGCCTATGCAGTATTTGGATAAAATGATTCAATGAAACATTATTTTAATTTAAGGAGACAAACAGAATAGAAAGTTAATTTTGTGTCATTTAATAATAACTTTAACATTCACACAAAACACTGGATTTATTTTTAGTGTGTAAAATTTCACCCACTTCCTCCTCGGTTAAAATCGCAAAGTGAGCACTACTGGTCACCATTTTGATGTATGCCGTCATAGACTGGTACAACTGTCCTCACTGGTGATCTCCACGGTACGCACGTAAAGCGCATGCGTAATTGGTAAAGAACTAACTGGAACAAATCTAACTGCTGCGACCCAGGTGTGTGATAGTACCTCCCTGGTTTTTGTGTGTCACGTGCGCGTACACAAGTCACGGGGAAATAGTAAAAACTTTCATACGGTTGAGTTGCTGGAATGAACCAATGAAATGCTGCGGTTGCCTGATGAATATTAATGAGGTATTGTAAAATGTGACTAAGGCCAAAAAAAAAAAGTCTCCGGTTTCTGGTATGGAGCTTGCCCAAAAAGTGGTGCGGCGACACGCCTTTTTTTTTTTACCTGCTTTTTTTTGCTTCAAATGTCGGCTGATGACTGCAAATGGTGCCCGACTAAACTTAGTGCAAATATCATGAATATATGGGAGTCCAGAGAGGCCGCATAAAGCTTATTCTCGATCATAACCTCATCTAAAAACATGTTAAAATTGTGCAGCAGCAGGATTCTAGTCAAACCAGTGAGTTTGGCGGTTTTGAGACATCATCTTTCATTAAAAAAAAACCTGTTTTATTTTGCAGACGCGCATGGCTACGGCGACGGGCGCGCATACCAGAAACCGGAGACTTTTTTTTTTGGCCTAACATACAGATTTCTCATGCTATGATGCTGTATGAATGTTACTCTCACACAAGTTTTTAATCGCTGTATAGATTGAAATCTAGTAGAATATATGTGTTTTATTGAATGCCAAATAGGTATACATATATTTACAGAGTTCTAGAGAACTTTAACTGTTATAAAAACTGTTCTAAAAATATTAAGGAATATGAGAACACATGACACCCGGTTTTGCCCGTTCGAGCCAAGCATCTTTAAGGTGTGTTAAAAACAACACCATGTCTCACATCATAGCAGTCAACAGTTGTACACCTTGGCTTCTATCTTCTCCAGGGATTGCGCCAACCCCAAAGCCTTCCTCCTCCACCCTTGCCTGATCAGTGAGGAGGCGGAGAGGGAGTTCCTCCGTGAGACGGTGGAGGTCATGCTGGTCCTGATGCTGCCGGCGGGCATCGCTAACTCAGACACCGCCCGGCACCTACTGCGAGAGATCGTCACATGCGGAGGTCTGATACTTACTGTTGTGCTCCTGATCCCATTAAGCCAAACGGTGTATTACGCCAAACTATTCTGGCAATAGATTGATTCGGCGACGACTATTTTCTGAGTTGGAACCAGGCCTGCGTGAGTCGCGTTCAGGTAGTTCACGCACTCCGGGCTCCTTGAACCAATAGGGTTACCAAAATGCGCGCGTCTTGTCTTTAAGAACACATGTGGCATGCGCGCAAATGTGGTGCCGCCTGAAACATGGCTTCTAATTTTGTTTGCCGAATTAGTCTATTACCGGAATTCTGTTGTTTTTTCAAGTTTTGGAAAAAAAATTCAGCATTTCATCCGTTTCCAGGCTAGAAAAATAAATCCTCATGTTGCATGCAACCATGCATGTAGAATGTTTTATTTTTAAAACCCGGCTACGTGTTGCTGTGTGGTTTGATAGTTGCTCATGAGCCATTCAGAAAATTTGTTATGTACTACGTGTTGTCAGCTTGCTAGACTCGAACCAAGTGCTCGTTATCAAACTTAGGTTTTCTGCATAGGCGCACTGCATTCACATTGTACAGCGAACGATAGTTTAAGAGCTAAGTGCACTGGTGTTTGGGTCGGGGATCATTGTGCATATGCTTTGCTGCTCCATGGCCATCGACATGCTAGTGTGATACGTAAATGTATGTAATGTACATTCAGTGTCGACATCTGTAACCCGTTTGTGGTGGTGCGGCTTAAAGTATGCATGGTGTATTGGGATCGTGTCAAAGTTTTAGGCCCTAGAGCAAAAACCCATTGGTATCCCTGGTAATAGACAAGTCCTTAACAAGTCCAGTCACAAGTCTAGTCACAAGTCCACTCACAAGTCCACTCACAAGTCCACTCACAAGCAACAGAAGATGCAACAGAAGATGAACTTTAACTAACGCTTGATTGACTTGTGATTGGCTTTATATTAGGACATACAAGGACTCAACTACATCACTGCTGCTACTAACTGTTATGAAAATTAGTAATACTTTACAAAATTAATATCATACGAAAAAAAAAGAATTTACTGCTAAATTTATGTATTTCAAATTGTACACCAAAAAACCTCACATTGTGAACATACGGTATTGGGAATCAGAAATGATACTAGGATTGTCCCAGTGTTTATATCCCGATGTACTTAGTTATTGTCGCATCCCAACGCAGCTCTGAAACCTGCCGTGGACATGGTCTGCGACCCGTACTTCGTCAACAGTATGCTGGTCTCGTTTCTGGAGCAGCGCGAGAGCCTGGCCGAGACCCACAAGCGCAAGTACGCCTACGCCGCCTCCTACGAGGAGTTCATCAAACTGATCAACATGTGCAGCGACGTACAAGAACTGCAGCAGATAAGGTCAGTTGGTGTATTAGATTGTTTTTCAGGAAGCACAGACCAACTAAGTGCAACGTGACGTGGTAAAAACGTGGTCCCATAACATGGATTGCTAAGCAGAAAATTATTGCTTTGCAAATGTATGCATTACAAATTCAAGTTAAGGACTGTTTACCCTAAACCTATACAGAGTTTTCAAGACATGTTTTCCGAGAGCTTGTGAGACAAAATTTCACACGTTTACTCAATTGGGACTTGAACTGCAACCTCCACCTAACTACTTTAGACATCAATATCAGGATTTGCCCTTCACCGACGTATAAATACTGTATACTCAGTGTGTTAGCTCTGTGAAATGTGAATTTGCGTCGGGGTGATGTAAATCAATATCAGGTTTTGCCCTTCACTGACGTGTAAACGCTGTATACTCAGTGTGTTACCTCCCAAGTGAAAATTGAAAAATCACTCGGGTGGGACTCGAACCCACGACCTCCTGCTTTCTAGTGCAGATGTCTTACCACTCGACCACCAAGCTTGCAGGATCGGTTGGCTGTTTTGAATCTTATGTACATAAAGCAGTGGGTACCGCAGTTAAACTATTCATTGGACACTGAGAATACAGTGTTTATACGTCGGTGAAGGGCAAAACCTAATATTGATTTACATCACCCCGACGCAAATTCCACCTCATGAATAGTTTACTTTAGACATTTTAACCACTCAGCCACCGAGCTAACCATTAAATTCAATTGGAAGTTTGATGGAGCTAATATTAGGTGATTTTTGCTTAGCTTGTATATACCCTAAGGAGGATTTTTTGTGATTCTTGATCAGACAAATAAGGTGAATACTCAGTAAACTTGTAATATCCTACCATAATGTCACCCACTTTGAAGCATTCAGCTCCTTGTTGTTTATTTGATGATAAGCAACTTAAGCAACTCTGTTCTTTTTCCCCAGGTATCACATCATCACTGAAATAATGCACGCCACCATGATCCAAGACCTGAAGAAGGCCAGAGGACCCGAGACAGACAAGTCTACCAAGAGCAGCGGCAAGGCCAACCTGCTGAGAGTCCGCAACCTCAAGAGATACATCAACCAGGTAAGAAGCCACTCTCGGCATTGTCTTCATTCTTGTCCTTCCTTACAAGTGCTGCCTTCATATGGTTGAAAATAAACACACTGCCAGAAACAACGGGGCAAACCCCTTCTCTTAGCGATAAGTGTTACACACGGGACCTATGGCTTTACGTCCCATCTGAAGTAAAAGCAATAATGGTTAGGTGTCTTGCTTAAGGACACAGGTGTCCAGACCGGGACTGGAACCCACACTCTGCTGATCAGAAACACCAGCAGAGCTTGAGTCTAGTGCTGTTAACCGCTCGGCCGTGACAATCCACTTCAATCAGAAAATATTCAACCAGTTAATAAAATGCTCTTAGGGCCCGTCAGAGTTCTAGACAAATTGCAGATGGAATCATTCACTGTGTCCGGACGAAGCTCTGCATTTGTTCCGGACATGTTCTGGGGAAATTTTCACTAGCAACTGCTTGACTCGCCAATACTGATACCAGAGTCTTATGTAGCGCACGTATCTACCAACAATTAGGTACTCAAGGCGCTGAATTTGATAACTTCATTGCGGGAAGATTGCGGGGAAGTTGCTCAGAATCCTGCAACTTATACCCGATACAATGTCCGCAACTTGTCCAGAAGATGGATTGAGACTGGCAATTCAGAGTTACACCGAACCCAATCGTATTAAAGAGCAAAATAGGTTGACCGAAATAAACTTTTGTTTCAGAATGGCAAACTTTATGTATTCATTTTCCATTGACTAGACACTGGAGCCTAAACTCATCAGCACTTGTATTGCGCTGAATAGCGAGTTTCAAATTTTTACAATCAGTAATCTTGTCTTCATTGCAGTGCAAAGTCGCCAAAGTCCAGTGCGAGCGACGCCTGGCGCTCCGAGGCGGGCCTGAGTACCAGGCCTACAGCCGGTCCACTGCCGGGCACCACTCCAGACCGCTGCATGACCTGCGGCCGCAGCGGGTGCTGACTCTGGACGAGATCCTGTCGGACAAGGTGGCCCGGGCCTACCTGACCAACTTCCTGAAAAAGGACGGCAAGGACGACTTGCTGAAGTAAGATTTTTCACTTTGAAATTGCGAGCAAGTTTGATCAAGGACATGTATGTGCCAACAGCACTGTGAGAACATCTCAAAGGATGGTCAAACATTACAAAACATCTTCATCCTGGCTTCCTGTTGAGCATTGTGATGTGTGTGGGGTTATTGTAACTTGCAATGTCACCAACCTCCGAAGGCTAGTCTCAAAATAGTGGAGCAGACTAGTCCAGCTATGGTTGACTGGTTCAATGGGAGATAGCCAAACTATGGTTAGTTATAGTTCTTACTTGCTGGTGTTCTTGAGCAAGCCATTTTGCTTTGATTGCCCCTCTTCACTGAGGAGGAAATGGGCAACTTTGTAGGCATGCATTCACCTCACGGAATGAAGAGGGTTTTGAAACCCGTCTTCATCAATGGCTCTGGTTTCAGGAGATTTTAATCCCTTATTTCCCAGGTTTGCAGCATTGCTAATGTTGCTAGTATCATGACTTTGGGCGTGATCCCTGCCTACATGGCATATTATACACATATAGACTGGCAGTGAGGTCACTAGTGCACGTCTATGCGCTCCCGAGGGACTGTGGGTGACCATAAGAGGCGGTCGAGGGAAATATAACCATCTTCTGGTCACTCACAGGCCCGAGGGGGCATAGAGGTGCACTAGGGACCGAATTTTGCCAGTCCATATGTGTTTTATAACTCACCTCTATCCAAAATTTTAAAAAAGAAGAAACCTTTCAGTGTTTTATTATTGAACTGTTTTAATTCAACAAGTAACTCATAAGCAATTCAACTGTAAGCAGTTCAACAATTAAGGAACAAAGTTTCCCTAGATTAAATTTTTGAGTTTGAGTTTTGTCAGAGGGAGCTGTAACCAGTCAAATATGTTTGAGTATAGTGCCCGATCAGGCACTATACTCTGGAAATTACGTGTGCGATGTCTCGATGCACGTCTAGTTCACGCTGACCGAGTTTCATACACTAGCCTATATTAGTGAATCACACATGATCGCGTTTCAGCCAATCAGGATAAAGAAGAAGCAAGAGGGGTGTTAAAAACCGGTTTATGGCTTCCGACTAGCGCCCCTTGAACAAATACATTAACAAAAATGGGGAACCACCAACATAGGGCTAGATAGCTCAGTTGGTAGAGCACCAGAACAGCAATTTGGAGTGCGCAGGTTTAAACTCCGCTAAAATCAATTTGTTCGACTTAAAAAAAATCTTAATAACTTGTCACTTGCTTCTTTTGGCAGCTTTTGGTTGGCGGTGGAGCAATTGAGGGACAGTAAGAAGGTGAGAATGTATGCCACTGACTTTATAAATAAGTATTTTGGTAATTTTAACACACCATAGTGTTTTCATGTATACACCTTTATGACAATATTTGAAGTATCAGAATTTATCCTAATGTTTTTAGCTCCTTGAAAATCCACCAGAAGAATTCAGGGTATTTTGCAAGACTTTCCGCTACTGTACATAGGACCAAATGCCCTGTGACAGTTTCAAGTACATTATACAGAGAATGGGTCATTGAATTTCCTGGCTAAAATCCACAGGGAGTTATTGAGGACAGTTCGTAAATGACACGAAAGCGAACTGGGTGCAAAAACTTGTGATGTCGAGCCAAGTATTCGGGCTGCTTATTCGCAAAAGTTGAGCACATTTCCAGTCCAAACGAACATTGCAGCAAGGTTTGCCCGAGGTCAAATTCGCTTAATGGCATTCGTTTTTGCGGGAAGTATGAGCGGGCCCTCGGGGTACAAGCTAGCAAGTTAAAGAAATCAGGGGCTGATCCAGTTTTTGCTCAGGTGCTGGGTTAATATTCAAAGAATTTTTTTCTGGGGGGGGGGGAGTTGGCAGACATGTGCTATGTTTTTCTGCATAATTTTCCTATTTTTGTGGCCGGGGGGGTGGTTAAACTGCCAAAATCCCCCCTTAGATCCACCATTTTGTAAAGTTTCCTGTGACATTGGAGATTATCGTATCCTAGCCATGTATACCCCAGGTAAAATATAAATTAAGGAAAAACACATCGTACTGCATAGGCATTACAAATGGTCACGGCAAGGATTATTGGCATGCCTGTCCGGGGTGACAATGAGTGTACGATCTGCCTTTATCTTCTTTTAAATGCGCTATTATTATTATTTGTTTTTATCAGCCCAAGGACCAGCACATGTATGCTAATGAGATCTACCAGACCTACCTGGCTACAACCAGCGCGGTCAAGGTGGACAAAGCCCACATCAAAGGCATGACAGACTTCTTGGCAGCAAACAGGGTAAGTTCAAGTCGTGGTGTCTTGACCAATCAAAATCATAATTAATGTCTCCAGGATAGACTGGAGATTTGAGCTCATCACATACGTGTATATGAGGACAGGCAACTGATATCTTAATGGTTGCAATGCGTCTTGGATGTGCCGGCCGCCTCCCCTATTCTTAGATTGGCCTTCTCTTGCACACTCATGCACAATGTTTGTATTCCAGTTCCTCCCAATTCCTTTTCACAAGTCCTTTCATAAAGCCAGTAAGTTGATGAACAATGGCAAAGGAATGCTTTTGCAACAGTTCATTTGAGTAGCTACATGTAGTGACTTGACTTGAGACTGAAATACTTGCAGGGACTCAAATACAATGCTGCTCATGCATCAGGCAGCATCCGAATGGTATGGCTACAGCTATAGGCTTCATGCACCAAAAAACGAGGGCGCACATTTTACCACTTTTGAGAGTCCCTTGGATGGGACACCACGTGTGAGTGCTGTACTGGTTCGCGCGCGAAGTACGCATGACATATTTATCCTGAATGTGCACAAAGCTAAGCCATAGCGTCTTCGCGCTTCGCTATGGCTTAGCTCGAATTTAACTTGCGATGGTCTCCCAGACTAATCCCAGCCCCCAATTACTTTGAATCATTCGAAATACGCAGTGGATGAACCGGGAACCAATCTAGGTCTCCCCCAACTCTCCTTTTCTGGCCGTTGAAGGGGTACTTGTGCACGGAGCCCATATAGATTTAGTTGACCTACATTATAGGTTGTTACAACTGATAATGTAGTAACCAACGAATGTTGTATCACCAACCGATAATATCACACAAATTGACCGATACTGTATCACTAACCGATGATGTAACACAAAATTGACCGACAGTGTAGTAAAATGTACTACACTATCAGTACATTGCTGTTACATTATCGGTCCTAACCGATAATGTAACAAAAATTGACTGATAGTGTAGTAACATTTACTACATTATCGGTCATTTTTTGTTACGTTATCGGTTAATGATACAGTATCGGTCAATTTGTGTGATGTTATCGGTTGGTGATACGTTATCAGTTGGTTACTACATTATCAGTTGTAACATAGATCAATATGACAATCTACAAACTGGGTGTTAAATGGCTCATCATGCCTTCCGTTTTTGAGTGTGTGATCAGACTAGTGCCTGGTACAACAATTAAAAACCAGGGTCAACTAAATGCCACAGAAAACCACTCTTTCACTAACCTGATTTTTGTTGTTTTATTTGTGTTTTGAACAGGGCCCGGAGTCATTCTTCAGCGCCCAGCATCAGGTCTACCAGTTGCTAGACGAGACCTACTACCCGTCCTTCCTGGTCAGCGAGAGCTACGGCAAGCTGATGGCTGCGGTGGGGGAGCCCACCGAGAAGGCATCCACGGAGGCGCTCAGCCCGGAAGTCCTGGAAAAGAAGGGGTTCAATACAAAGGTAACCCGGAAGTCCTGGGAAAGAAGGGATTCAATACAAAGGTAACCCAGAAGTCGTGGGGAATAAGGGATTCCATACAAAGGTAACCCAGAAGTCGTGGGGAATAAGGGATTCCATACAAAGGTAACTCGGACGTTCTGGAAAAGAAGTGACCCAGAAGTCCTGGGAAAGAAGGGATTCAATACAAAGGTAACCCAGAAGTCGTGGGGAATAAGGGATTCCATACAAAGGTAACTCGGACGTTCTGGAAAAGAAGTGACCCAGAAGTTCTGGGAAAGAAGGGATTCAATACAAAGATTACCGGAAAGTCATGGGTAAGAAGAGACTTCATACAAAGGTAACCCGAAAGTCATGGAAAAGAAGGGATTCAATACAAAGGTAACCCGAAAGTCATGGAAAAGAAGGGATTCAATACAAAGGTAACCAGGAAGTCCTGGAAAAGAAGGGATTCAATACAAAGGTAGCCCGGAAGTCCTGGAAAAGAAGGGATTCAATACAAAGGTAACCCGGAAGTTCTGGGCAATAAGGGATTTGATACAAAGGTAACCCGGAAGTCATGGGAAAGAAGAGATTTCATACAAAGGTAACCTGGAAGTCCTGGAAAAGAAGGGATTTCATGCAAAGGTAACCTGGAAGTCCTGGAAAAGAAGGGATTTCATACAAAGGTAACCTGGAAGTCTATGGAAAGAAGGGATTCAATACAAAGGTAACCTGGAAGTCTATGGAAAGAAGGGATTCAATACAAAGGTAACCTGGAAGTCTTAAGGAATAAGGGATGCAACACAGAGGTAATCCGGAAGTCGTGGAAAGCTGCAGGAATTTTGGGACTGTCCTCATGTTCCTCAAACAGTCAAGTTTTACAGTCACCGACTGTCCAAAAACAGTTATGGAATTTTGGAACGGAGGTAAAAGTTCCTTGTTGTCTGCGAATTTCGGGACTGTCTGGTAAGTCGAGAAAATTTGTGGAACAATGCTAGTTTGAAGCGGATGCTAAATGGTGCATAATTTTTTACGTGTTTGATAGGTGAAGCCACCACAGGAGGAGCTGCAGACTTCCGAGACCAGCTTTGTTGAGCAGACGATGTCCGTCGTGACCAAACTCCAACAAGTGGAGGAACGACTCGGCAACAAGCTCCAGGCGCTGAGTAACCTCAAGAGCGCTCACAGTGCAGACTCAAAGGTAGGATACTCGGTCATTTAGGTAACCTGTTTGATGAGTTACTCTAATGAGTTTTGTTTTGTTCTCGCAAACTCTTAAAGGTAGAGTACATCATTTGTAATTTGTGCATTATGTTCGTTTGAAGAAACAAAAGTGCTCAAATTCTAAAGAAGGATGCTTAACAACTCATCTATGAAGTCTTAGCTCAGTGAATGCTGTATATTCTGAGAAAAAAAGTATTCTAGGATCTCGTTTTTAAATCAGAAGTTGCTGAGTCATGTTTTGAACTGCGCCTGAATTCAGCGTCCGGGACACATTCTCATTCAGTCGATTGCAGCTACGCAATGTCGCGCACTTAACCGATGAATTATAGTAATCGCTCGCGCGTGTGCGTCGTTTCCATGCTTGCATGCGCTTCACTGAATTAATAAAACGAACTACTAATGGAAATTTCCACGAATATATTTTTAGACGCATCATGGAAATGGCCTTCTTTCATTGTTTTCGTCAAAATGACAGCTTGCCAGAAAGAATAATTTCACAGGAGTTTAGTCCCATTACTATCTTTAAACCAAGTATTTTTTTCAACAGTAATTTCGTCAGTTACTTTTTGGGTATCTGCAAAAGATGGACTGTACCTTTAATAGCCTTTTTATTATCAAATTTGGTGTTTTGTTTTCCCCTCCACAGATGCAGCAGATGCTGGAGAAAGAAATCGAGCAACTCAAACTGGAGAAGTCGACCTTGGAAACCTACATCGAGCGGACAGACCTGTGGAGTGACCAAATTGGCAAGTGGCGGGCCGATATCTGCTCAGCTCAGGTCAGTTACGCCACGGGGACAATACTCAAGGGTGCAGACCTGTAAATAGGCCCGAAATTGCCTACACTGGGCCCTCAAATTCTCCGGTCTTAGAGCATTTTGAGGGCCGCGAACTTGGAGATTTGTAAAAAAGAAGAGTGGAAGACGTGCAGAGGACTGGGAACTCCTGTTTCTGTGAAATGTGGATGAAATTAGGCCCTTAAATGGATCTATTTTGCAATGGAGCGTAGGCGTCCATTTTCAAAATGGGGATGGGCTTCAGGACTGCTTTAAGGGGTGATCATCTTTGGATGGAATTTTCAGAACTGCTTTAGGGGTGATCGTGTTTGGATGGAATTTTCTCCCAATTGGTTAACTCCTCAAAAATTGAATGGAAAATGAAAGATGATGAAATAAGCTTTAATTTGATGTGTATCTCAAATACCTTGGAGAGTTGTGAGTATTTCTAATAATTTTGGGAAGTGCACGTAAGTACCACTGAGGGCTAGGGCAGTCTATTTACTGGTCTGCAACCTCAAGTCAAGCGTGAAAAGTTTCCATCTACAAAAGCAGTATTGTTTGTGTGTTGTGGTACATTATTTTTTATTGTACTCTATATGATAAAATTGTCTCCACTAGCGCAACACCAAATTTCTATCAAGCAAAAAAAAAACCATGTAAATGATAGTGTGTAGACTTTTATCTCTTGTCGTGAAGTGTTAGGCTGCATCCGAATCAGTTGTCTAGAGCTAGGTCTAGGTCTGCGCCCATTGAAAATACGCGGGGACGTGCTGACAATAGACGTAACCGTAGCTCTGGAAGCCCGTTTCGGACACGGCCTTAGTCTGCAATTTTCTTCACTTCAATTTTTCTCGTCTGCCTAGATCTTGGAGGAAGGTGACACGGTCATCCCCTATTACGTGATAGTGGTACATCCCATTGACCCGGCCATATCAATACCGGGATGGGTCGTCTCACGTCGTCTGGGGGACTTCCACGCTCTGCAGCAGAGATTGAAAGAGGTAATTGAAAAAAAACACGAAGAGTCTACTGAATAGATTTTTAACGTAGCCCCGTTGAGATTTTTGGAAACACTGTTCTTGTGGACCATGAAGTGAAAGGGCCCTACTTCCAGTTTGTCAATGTCATTGTTCAAGGGGCGGTAGTCAGTAGCCATAAACCAGCTTATAGTGGTGTTCCTTAACCAGTTCACGCCGGAGGCCGTGTATAAACGCAAAAGTTTTGCGGTTTTCGGAATGGATGACAGATTAAACACTCAGGGAGCGAGGCGGAAATATCTGTCAGTGACCCGCTCGCAGCGAGCGAGGCCGGAAATATGAGTGTACTGCCCGAGGGTGATGGCTTGAGGTCGAGTGAAAAGTAATCTCACGCCTTGTTCCATTTTTGACAATATAATCCCGGTGTGAACTGGTTAACGTGGCGCACTGCGACGTTCCCCCGACTTTCCTCATGCGGTGTTGCCAAACTTCTTTGTTGACAAACTATAAATTCATTCAGTTAAATACTGGTATTTTTTTGTTAATAATGCTTGCTGTTGAACCTTTGTGAACAATTTCAAGGTCATGAAATTGAGTCTGAAATTCCATGACCTTGAAATTGGCGGTGTCTGGAAATTGGGCACAAAATCGGCCGAGTGTTCCCTAATGTGGCGCACTTGAACAAATCTTGGAAAATCCCAAGTTAACATTTAAGAATTTCTTTAAAGTTGAAAAATTCTAATAAACTGTTCACCGTGCACTTCGAAATAAAATCGGAAAATCTCGCAAAAATAAATTTCCCTGCTAACGGGTAGGTAAACTCAAGATTGATAAATGGGAATGTCTGGAGCCTGATGAAATTTCACTTACTGTGAAATTTCAGGTAAAACATTTGCTCTAGCAAGGCGCTAGAGGCGAAAAATCACTGTGCGCCACGTTAGGGGCCGCACCATGTTAGGGGAAATCACCAATACATGTAGCTAGGGATCACGCCAAAAAGTCCCAATGCTGACAACATTAGCAATGCTGCAAACCTGGTGCTGGTTTGCATGGATGTAGCGGAATGCAGCGACCAGAATAAGAAGCTGCTACTGCGGTGGTGCCACGCTCACACGTATCTCGAATACGTTCGTAAATGCGTATTTTGGTAACTCTATTGGTCGAAGGAGTGCGAAGTTTGTGCGGACTACCTGAGCGCGACTCGCACTAGCCTGGTGCCACCTCAGAAAATGGCTGTCGCCAGATTAGTCTATTGCGCAAAGTAGGCACAAGTTATCTTCTTCTAACTGTCAAAGCCATAGCATCTTCGCACGAGCATCTGGCCTGGTGTCAACGGTAGTGCTCAAATGTCTCTCCCAGTGGTCGCCACCAACTCTCCCCTTTCTTACCCTTGAGGGGGTACTTGTGTACGGAACCCATAATTTTAAGACCATGGGATGCAAGGCTATTGTGATTTTTTTTGGAAATTTTGAGAGCTCTTGTAACCTGTCTATTTCTATTTGATTGGCGTTACAGTGCAGTAAGTGGGTCGGCAAGATGGAACTACCCCAGTACAGCAGGAGACCCTTCAAGTCAGTCCAACAGCAGGACTTCTTAAACAGCTCCAAAGGAACGCTGCAGAAATATCTCACGGTAAGTTACAGAATGCATTGGTACTTCTTCCTCTATGGCCCAGGTTGGAATCCAACACAGGCCAATATGTGGATTGGATTTTTCAGTCCCTGCCTGAACGGTGTGGATTTTTCTTTAGTCTACAATTCCAGAGGTGTCGGCTTGCCTCTGTAATTTCTGCAATTTCTTTGTCTTTTCTCCAAATTTTCTCAGGACTGAAGTATCTCAGCACTTCAGAGGAGTCTTTGATAGCATTACAATAAAAAAAATATTTATGTAATATACAATTATTACAACTCATACATATTACTGAGCCAAACATGCTCTTTTTAACCAGTTATCGCCAAAGACCGTGATAACACGCAATGGCTGTTTTTGTACACAGGCACGGCTGACGGATTTAGACATCAAGATTGCCTCAATTCGCCTTTGGGTGATGTCTGAATAAGCTGATCCCTCGTGCTTTTTGTACACACACACAAAGTCTGTGTTGTCTGTGGAGGTGGACCGTGTGCTGCCCATTGTGTGGGCCATTGTGCACGGCCTACTGTTGTACAATTTATGCTCCAGTGCACACCCCGGAGTATTGAAACATATTTCGGCAAGAAATATCGTACAGATACTGTTGAATGACTCTTGTGAATCAGTATTTGTACAGTTTGCTGGATATCAGAAGTTGGCTGGGAAATTTGTCTTTTGAAAATTTCGAAATTTTTGGCAAAAATAAACCCGGCACAAAGTGGTTAATAAGCCAAAGCGGCATTCCAACTGCACATGTGCTTAACAAGATTCAATTCTTTTTATTGAGGAAAAAAAGTGATGGATAAATGCACACGTGTTTGTTAGGTAAACCCACACATTCTTTTTTGTTTCTGTATTAGTCGGTACTCCAAGATGAAACACTGAGACACAGTGAGGTTTTGTACACCTTCCTGGTACCCACTCCCGAGTGTCTGAAAGCAACTGTGTAAGTACATGTATGATGCGTAGCCGATTTGTATGGTGCTCCATGAGTACCATACCACAAATGTAATTAACAAGTTCTTTGTTCAATTTTATAATTATTACATATGCACCTAATCAGTTTGGCTTTAGGGTATATTTTGTCAGGTTTGTGAGTGACAGTGCTAGATCTGTGCACTTTTGAAAATAATTGAGTATGCGATAGTTTTAACTTAGACTTGATCGAATATTCGAAATGCACTGATCAAGTTTAACATGCGGCAACCTAAATTGTCCTCTGACCTGGATTTGTATGTTCATGCAGTTGTTAAAAATTGACAAAGATCTTATTAAAGTAATATAAAGAACGGGTATCGGAAAGGTTGATATTTGATCGATTTTAACAAATTTTTTTTTGTTATTTTTCATGGACACTCAAATCATTTTGACAAAATTGCGGCATTTGACAAGTTACAAAGAAACAACACAACTAAGATTTAAACTGAAAAGAACAGTGTGGATGTTTTTCATCATCTCCTCACGACCTCGAAAAAAATGTTATTTGGATATTTGTTTGATGATTGAATATCTGGATATCCTGTTAATTTGGCACAGCCCTAGACAATGCCATGGGAGATTGTGCTGGAAATCCTTGGTTTTGTCACCAGAAATTGATGTTAATATGGTAATTTTTAACTTTTTTTTTGCATTTTTCTCTCCGTAGCAAAGAAGAAAAGAAAGAAAAGAAGAGCATGTTCTCCCTAGCCAGCATCTTCAAGTCCACGGCTGTGGAGCAGGAGGAGGACAGAGGAGGGGACGAGGCGGAGGGAGAAGACGAGAGGTGAGTAGAAAGACAAACCACGGCAACAGTATCCGTGGCGATACATGTGTTTCTAAAACTATATGCTTTCTGAAAGTATGGATTCTGTGTCCAAACTGTAGAGTGCGATTTGTAAGCACTTTCAATAGCCGCAGTGGGAGGGACGTAATGTGTGCGTGTACTGGTTTGACGACCTAAGGCGTGAAGTACGCATGACTGATATTATTCTAAATGTGCGCAAGCCTGTTATGTCTTCACGTGAGTGCAGGCTCTGTCGGCAATGCGTTCAGGTCCCTCCCAGTGGTCTCCCCCAACTCTCCCCTTTGTAACCGTTGCACGTAGTCCATAGTAAGCTAAGCATCCATATCCGGTTTGTTAGTAAAACGTCATACACGCACACACACCATTGAGAACTAGCGCCCATTGGATAAATGCTCGATGTGCGTTAACTTCCGGTTCCATTTGTGCTATGCTGCACCGTGTGAAGTACGCATGGTTGAATTGTGATGACGTCACACTAACCAACCGGATGGAACCTACAACTTTTTTTAAAGATGATTTTTAAGAGGGTACCCCCAAATTCCCTTGCGTGGTAAATACACAAAATCAATTTCCAAAGTATGGTTCCGTGCACGTTTGTAGGGAGTGTGGCCTAGTGGTTAGAGTTTGTAACTCTTGATCGGAGGGTCAGGGGTTCGAATCCAGCTGCTGGCCATATGTTGTGTCCTTGAGCAAGCCACTTCACCCCCACTTGCCTCTCTCCAGCCAGGTGTATGAATGGGTACAGGCATTAGCTGGGGAGTAACCTGCGATGAACTGGCATCCCATCCAGGGGGAGTAGAAATATTCTCAGTCGTTTCATGCCACTGAAACCGAAGACGCCGGCCAGATGGGCCATATTGGCTTGTGACAGACTTTACTTTTACATTTGTATTGTACTTTTTAATGATATCTCCCAATTCATTTTGTGGTAAGTGCGTTTTTCCCTCCCTCTAAGCTGCTCCCTTAGAATTAGGAAATTTATTTTTTTTACTGTTTGTAATATTTTTTCTAAATAGTACCCAGGACAGGTGGGACTCCACGGCCGAGCCGATCTACGCGTTAATCAGCGAGGTGTTTGAGCTGCGAGGGATGTTCAAATGGCTACGCAAGAAGCTCATATTCTTTGTGCAGTCCACGTTTGGGGGCACCATCAACAAGTGAGTTTTCCTTCTTAAAATCTTTGCATCACATTGTGAGACAACAGACCATTGTGGATGCTTTGACAATCATGTTGTTTACTCATTAAAACAAGCTCGATCGGATCTCGGAAGTTGCCGTCCACCGAATGCTTGTTCATGCATGAGTCACGTGATTGTGCCATATAATATTTGGAAGGAGTAGTGTTTTGAGTAACAAAATCAGCATTTTGACCCCAGTGACCCCATGATGACCTTTGACCCCAGTTTGGTCATGTGACATGTTGGGCTTGAACTACTGACACTTTTGACAAAGCTTGGTTGAAATCGGTCAAAATGTGTAGGAGCAATAGACAATGTCAACGTTTGTTACTTACTAACTAGCTAAGTAACTGACTAACTACAGTAACTAACTAACAGAGAGATATGATGTTTTGTTGAGCTGCTACCAGCAGGTAAAAGGGAAGGTAACTTGGCCTTTACTTTTAAGTCAGTGATGAAATTTCAGTGAGTTGACAAAGTTTTTGCTGATCCAAGAGGGCCAGCCTAGTTTCCTCTTTGCCTAATCTCATTGACTGACTCACTGACTCCCCGACAGACAGTGACAGTCACTTGTGAGCTGGGCAGTGCTATTGTATGGGATTACCCTGTTAGGCCAATGAATGGGCTACATTTGGCTCACCTAAATCTGGATCATAAGTAAAAAAAACACTGACAGAGTTTGCTGGTCCCAGAAAGGGCCAGCGTACAGTCCTCTTTGTACCTGACTGGCTGACTGCCACTGGCTGGTTAAGAGAACCGGGCAGTGCTATTGTATAGGAGTACCCTGTAATATGGGCTAAATCTGTCAAATTGTTGTAGACCAGATGCATGAAAAGACTTCCAGTGAATAAACATTCTGAATCAACTGAATACAATTTGTGAAGTTCTTGGACTAGCTTTACCAGGCTGTCCATTGCCCAAGTTATTGTGATCTATTTAACCAGTTCACGCCGGGATTATTTTGACAAGAACGGAACGAGGCGCGGGATTGCTTTCCACTCGACCTCAAGCCAGGCGGGTTGAAGCCATCACCCTCGGGCAGCACACTCATATTTCCGGCCTCTCTCGCTGTGAGCGGTTCGCTGACAGATATTTCCAGCCTACCTCCTTGCGTGTTTATCTGTCATCCGTTCTGAATACCGCAAAACTTTTGCGGGTAAAACGTCATTCGGTGCGAACTGGTTTATCCCTTATTTTGTGACACTATTTATACTTGTAATTCTCAACTTGCAGGCAGCTGAGAGAGACGGTTGAGTGGATCGTGTCGGAGCCCATGATCATCTATTACATACGTACCCTGCAAGAGTCCGTCTGGCCCAAGGGCAAACTGGCGCCCGCCTGGCCGGTGCCCAGCAAGGAGGAACGGGACAAGATGAAGAAGAAGGCCAGGGAGAAGTTCCTGCAGTACGTCCCAGGTATGCAAACAGATTGCCTTTATTTTCTCCATCTCATGTCCATCTCATGTCCATCGCAAGTCCATCGCAAGTCCATCGCATGTCCATCTCATGTCCATCTCATGCCCATCACATGTCCATCACAATTCAGAGTCACTATGACAAAGGAATGCAATATGAAATATGCCTTGGTTGACAAAACTGTTCTGTTTTTTGCTTTTAATTTTTGGCTGTTTTTTTGTTAATAGATTTTCTGCAGTCCCTCCTTGGCAAAACCAACAGTCGGCTGGGTGCGATCAAGGTGTTTGAAGCCTTCCAAGACACAAGAACGAACAAGCATCTCTTATACGTAAGTTAAAAACAATTTGTTTTGCTGTTTCATCTGGAATTTAAAACAAAAAGATTTGCTGTAAGAAAAATTACGATGATAGCGCTGCTATTTAGTCCAGTAAAGTCCACATATTCTTGTTTAGATTGGGTACAAATATATTTTATAATTGCCAAAAGATCACTTAAGATTTAACCAGATCCCACAAGTTGAGTCTTAAGGGCATTTGTTTTTCACGTATAAGTTTTTCATGTGCAGTAGAAACAAAATACTCAGCTCTTTATTTTGTTATATTTACAACGTCTTAATTAATATAGACATAATGTGGGTGGAAACTTTTGAAAGTTCCTGTTGATTTCCAGTCTGCAAGAATTATTTAAAAGCTCACAAAATTGCTCAAGTGACTTCAAACTCGTGTTGTTGGGTTGGGACACAATTTTTCTTTTTAATTTTGGTGCTTGTTGTTTTTTCTTGTTACTGGCATTAAATGTTTGTCTTATGCCTCTCTTTGAGTTATTTCTCCTTTTTAAAAAAAAATTTACATTTGGAATAAAAGTGAGAATGAAAGACTATTGGCACTTCTGATAGCAACAATGTAAATATTGTCAATAAGATATGCTAAGTTTGATATTACACCTTCTGAGAGGGTGACATTTAGGCTGGGTATTTGAAATTTTCTGATCCTTTTCCAAAACAAAACCCCAAAACCTGATATGCTGAGTCAAATCTTGTGCTGTAGGTACAATGTACATGTACATCTAAGTTTGATAGTGCGGACATTTACTGCTCTGCAAATTGATTGTACAGGTTGTTCATTCTTTCCAAGAAGTTTTTGTGCCTTATTTAATGTTACAAATTGTACAAACAACTTGACTGGAGCAGGGTTTGAATCTGCGACCTCTTGATTACCATTCCAGTGCCGTACCAACTGAGCTATCCAGCCCTATGTTGGCAGTCCCCATTCCGTCAATGTCTTTGTTCAAGGGTCCGCGTAGTTAATGTAACTCTCTGCCCTATCTTGGCAGAATCTGATCGAGTTGGTGCTGATCGAGGTCTGCCCGGAGCTGAAGGACCCAAAGCTGCTGGAGCACCTGGAAGAAGAGGAGAGAAAACTGCAGGAGCAGAGGATGAAGGAGGCGGAGGCGGTTGCCAAGCAACGGGGGGAGGAAGATGAGGAGGAAGATCAAGATGAGGAGACGGAGGAAGAAGGGAGGAGATATGGGAACGTCGGGGAGGAGAAAGGGAATGACATCAAGGAAATCATGGAAGATGAGGTTGAAGAGGATGGAGACGGTGCTGCCGTCGACGATGAAGCTGACGACGATGGGGATGATAACGATGATGATGATGACGTTAATGACAGTGACAACAACGAAGATGAAGATGACGTAGACGAGGTCGGAGTGGATTCTCTTGAAGATGCCGACACGATCAGAGGACGGACTGATGCAGCAGTCGGCAAGGAAACAGGAACTGTGGAGGACTTGGGAGAAAGAGTGGCCGACATGAATGGAGAGGATTAGCAAGAGTTGCTACTGGAAGGTCTTATAATGTTTGCCTACACAAATAAGTCAACCATGGACTCTGTGAAGAAGTAGTAGATTATGCTACTGTTAAGTCACTTTGTACATATGCATAGCATTGGGGTGCCACTAATGTAGACCTTTGTAAACTCCTTACTTGTGTTCTCCTTTGTTCGCAACTGAAAATTATGCATTATGCAAATTATGCATATAAAACATGCATCATGCAGCTTATGCATTATTCAGATCCTGCATTATTCAGATCCTGCATTATGCAGATCATACATTATGCAGATCAGATCATACATTATGCAGATCAGATCATACATAATGCAGATCATGCATTATGCGTATCATGCATTATGCAGATCATGCATTATGCAGATCATGCATTATGCAGATCATGCATTATGCAGATCACGCATCATTCAGATCATGCATATCATGCATTATGCAGATCATGCATTATGCAGATCATGCATTATGCAGATCATGCATTATGCAGATCATGCATTATGTAAATTATAGATCAGCTCATAGAATACTCTACTGAAATTTAATCAAATATGGTGGCGGGAGATTTTTAATGGACTTTACTAAAAGCATGATATAGAAACTTAAACTTGTTCTACCCATGTTCTTCAGCAATTTTTTTTTTTTTTTTTTTCTCCTAATGCATTTAAACAAATATTTCATTAAACGGCGAAAGGCAATTGTTTTTGTTGTTGATATTTTCAAGCCTATGAAAACATGCTTTTATTTGGGGTTGCTTGTGCGCCCATAGCGAACAAAATCATGTGCCTGAGTTATTGGTGGCAAATAATTTGAAATTTGTAACGTAAAATATTTGAGGAAACTTAAGAAGCAACAGAAACTCACAGACAGTGGCGTAAATCTGTGCCGGGGAGTGGGGGGATGGGGAATCATGACCAAAAACTAAAAATTGCTCTGCCGTGGAAATTTGAAAGGGGACGCTGTTTAAAAGAAGGGCATGGGTGGGGGGGGGGGGATATAAACCCCCTCCCCTCTCCTCCCCCTACCCCGGATTTACACCCCTGTTATAAACATGTAGGAACCTAGCAATTTGGGTTGTTTGTATTTCAATGCATTTTATGCCATATGTTGCATATTTGCTTTTCTCAAATTGAGGAGTTGAGACCAAACTTTAATTATAAACTTACTTGTTTTAACAATGTGTTGGCATTGTAAACATTTTCAAAACGGATCCCACTAAAGTGTGTGGGGGAGATATATTGTTGCAGGGCCTACATCATACTCAGTCCTTTGCTTTGTGAAATCTGCACATTTTTCACCTTCACTTATTGTTTACTTTCCATTGATATTGTCGTGGACCGATATAATTGGGCAGAAGTCTGATGTCTTCCCTTTTATACTTCTAGAATGTTACTATTAACATTCTCTCTATTGTAATCATCTTTTATGTTAAAACTTACTTCAATTTCAGTTTTATATTTTTGTAGGTTTTGTACATTTATACATGGACTTACCCAGATTGGGTCTCAGTATATTTTGTGGTACTTGGTGGAACATAATTTTGTATATAATCTTGGTTGCAAGCGATTACAATAGGCATAAATAAAACCCAAGATTCTTTCTTCCAGTACACGTACATGTACTGTTGTAAAAATTCCAGCAATTTCACCTTTTCTTCTGGGATTTGCAGGTATTGGAATTACAGATTATGAGGTTTTGATGTGTTTAAACAAGTGCCAAAAGTAGTGATTTTACAATAACTATGCAATTTCTTGTTTACAAAAGTCAGAATAACAACTGTACAACTTCCAACTTTGATAAAACATTTTTTTTTCTTTGGCATAGTGGTTTTTGGCAGTCAGTAAAATTATACAGAGCATGCCCCCAAAAAGTGTGACATTCAGAAAACAAATAATTAAAACTTTAATTTTTTTTCTTCAATGAATTACGTATTATCGGTACATTCAAGCCTATTTCTCAATCCACTCCTTTTTACCCCATTCCATTTGGGTCCCTAGATCCAGAAATACAATCAATTAAGTGAAAGGGTGTCACCTGTGATGTCACCAACTTCAATACCTATTCAATGCTTAACCCAGATTCAGCATGTATATTTACACCCTTTCACTTAATTGATTATATTTCTGGATCTAGGGACCCAAATGGAATGGGGTAAAAAGGAGTGGATCGAGAAATAGTCAGGCTTTAATTTTTAGTCAGGTTGTAATTTCATTGAAGAATAAATTGTTTTAATTATTTATTTAAATGTTGCACTTTGGCACACTCTGTACATAAAATTGGGAACAAAAGGGATGTTTGTTATATTGACAAGGTTTTGATATGGTGTTTGTTGTAGTTGGGTTCTACTGTGATACTATCCTGGAGGTGTGCGCTTTTGTTTTACAGGGGTATGTACATGAGTGCTGTGGCCTAGTGGTCTGGAGCATTGAATTTGTGGTCTGTGTGTAATTCTGCAGGTTGTGGGTTCGAGTCCAGCCTGCAGCTATGGTGCATGTGCTCTTAAGCAAGGCGCCTTGTCACTCATTGCTTCTCTCCACCCAGGAGTAAATGCGTACCTGTGAGGGCAGGTTTTTTTTACTGTGAGAGGTTGATTATGGCTGAATTGATATCGAGATCCTAGAATATTGTTTTCTCGGAATATACATGAAAAAATGAAAAAATGCACTGATGACATACTCTACCTTTAAAATGAAAAAAATAAATAATTCTTGGATTTGTCCGTGTCAAATATGTACAACATCTTGCATGTTAAAATTATTTTAACAAAAATGTGCTTCCTCTGCAGTTTATGAAAGTGTTTCACGTGTGCATGTACTTTTACTGATAAGTGGTTTTACGTTGCAGTGTTTTTTCTACAACCATTATTTTAAACAGTCATAATTTGTGGGTTTCAAAGCTTAAGTACTTCTCATTAATTCACACCATAAAACAACAGTTGTTGTGTGTCGACAATCACTTTTTATTTGACATGATAAAATACCATCACCCTGTTTTTGGAAGTGCAAGCGTCTTATGACCGATCCATTTCTCAAATCATGATTTTAAGTAGCTTTTATTTTTAATACTGAAATAAGTTAGACAGTGCATTTCTTTCAGCTAACTGTGTAATAATAATAAAAGTTGGGAATATTTTGAATATTCTTTATGGAAAGAAAAAATGTGAAATAGTTGCTTTGAGTTTTTTTGTTGTACTATTACTGCATTAGGTAGACAGTGAAGACTTAAAATATGCCGAAATCTGTTGGTCCTTAATCTAATGCCCTTTGAAACTCTTCAATGTTTGGTTGCCACTTGAGCAGGACTCCATTTTTTTTTTATTTCCCACTTAGCCTCGGGCACACCTGGCTCATTTCCCATGGTAAGTAGTATGTAAGCAAACCAACAATGACCAAGAGTTTTAATTGAAGGAATCTTTGGTTTTTTTGGTGCAAAATAACAGAAAATGGCAATATGTAAATTACACAAACTAGGTGGAACATCCACACTGTTTACTTGTGTATAACATGTACAATTACCAGTATTACATTGGGTAATGTGATCTTTCAACCAAAACAATGGATGTTTCAAACTGTATTGCACAATAACAATTCACTTGTTTCAGTATCATGTATTTTAATCATGTTGGTCGCATTTTGCTACACGAATCGTTCGTGGCAAGCTTACAGAAAAATTCACACGTGAACACGGCACCCCTACATTTAAATGGGCCTTATTCACGAGTTGGCAATTTTTGTCGAGTTCCCTGAATGTATTTAATTAAGGGAATAAATGTGTGCTCCGGAGGTTTTTATCACTCGTTTAATACCGCTTAGAGTCTGGGTGCTGATAATTACCCGAGCCGGAGGCGAGGGTAATTATCAGCACCCAGACTCTAAGCGGTATTAAACGAGTGATAAATACCGACCGAGCACATATTTATTCCCATTCATAAATACCTTATCCGTAAAAAAATTTCAAATAATTCGTTCAAAAAATCCCGATTTTGTTCAACAAGTTCACTTCATGCTTTTGAAACATCCCTCTAGCAAAATAATGGAGTGTTCAGCTGGCGAGTAAGATGTAAACAACCCTTTTATGGAGATTGACGCGCGCGTAACATGTTCTGCGCGATGTCACGCAGAACGCACCTGAGGCGTTGCGTTTTGAATTTAGAACTATAAAATTCTGACTCGCTTGTAGTGTTGCGCATGCCTACGTGAGGATTGTGAACGTTCAACCAATGAAACGGTAAGAGGCACTGGATTTTTAGGAGTCCACATTTTATTGTGACACTGGAAAAGTGTTTAAGACCAGCTAGCCATGTCTTTATCATCCGTTTAATACCGGCCACGTGACGGGCTCTCGACCAATAGGAATAGCTAAACTGTCTGAGGTATTTATGAATAATTGTTTACTGTTGAATGGGATGGCGTCAGACTATTTATGCAGGCATTATGCAGCCTTATTTTACTGTCATTTGGTTTTAAAAATATGGCTTTAAACATTGGGAAATGTTTAATTACAAATTTAAAACTATTTATTGAGGCAGACTGGAATTGATTATAAATTAAGTTGCTTTCATTTCTCTTCGCAAGTTCAAAAAATGAAGATTTTGCCTAACTTTCAATTCAATATGGCCGACTCGTGAATAAGGCCCATTAAGGATTTGAATATGAAAAATGTTATAGGACTATCATATTGTTGCTACCCGCAAATTTTGAAATGAGGTTTATCTGGGTGATGAGGTGTATGGACTATAGGAAACATCCAGTTTACATTTCATAGTTAGACATTAAACAAGATGAGGTTACTAAATAATAAATATGACTTTGCAGTTATGAAAGTGATGTCACAGATTGAGCAACCAATCACATTGATTGTCTGGACCCTATAAACCACTGGTTGCATTAAGAGTTGACCAATCAAAATCCTTTAAATGGTTTACAAAACTTCACATGCTACCTGATTGGCTGATCACAAATCCCAAGCAACCAATCAGATGATTTGATACGATATCAGGAATCCCCCAAAATGATATTAGTAGGGTGATTTTTACACTTGTTTCAGACTGCGCTCCTAAGTCCAGGTATGCAACTGGGAAGTATAAAACCACAAAAATGAGGAAACCTCCAAGCTCTACGAGACTTCATCCAGTGTTTTTCAATTTTTAATGACGAGCGCGAAGTGAGAAACGAGGAAATCAGCTGATCGGGAAAGTTGCATGCCCGAAAGTCACGCCAAACCCAAATTACTTCATTACAAAAGTTGGAATTAAGTTTCATGTTTGAAACAACTATACATGAAAGATTGACTTTTGCCTTCATTCAACAACTCCGGAGTCGAGCCTATGGAAAATTGAGCAGGTCAATTTTCAAGCCTGTCTGAAAATGAATTCTATTTTGGTTGATTTTAGTCGTTTTTAATTTGGTTTGGCATGACTCTAAAATGCCAGTCACTTAAACAAGTGTTATCTTTCAAAACTGCAAAGCCACGAGGAACTCTCAATCAGAAGGTGACAAAAACACAACTTTGTTGAAATCCTAAACTCTCCCTGACTAAAAATGCCTGGCATCTTATAATTTTTGGGTGTTTTTTTTGTTACTCGTAGATGTAGTCGTAACCAGCTGGCTTCCAGTCCACCAGTTCCTCGTCCTTGAACCAAAGCTTGATCTCTTTCTCGGCGCTCTCGACCGAGTCCGAGCCGTGGCAGATGTTGCGGCCAATGTGGATGCAATAATCACCGCGGATGGAGCCGGGGAGGGACTTAGCCTGGTTGTAGAAAAAAAAGAAGAAAATTAGGGCCAAATAACAGGCAAAAATGTCTTAAATGACTATGGCCTCTGCGCACAAGTACCCCCTCAATAGACCATTATCATGTTGCGGCCATCTTGATTTTTTCCCATTCAAATCAACTTAACCAAAGCGAGGCTGGAAGGAAAGAGTCTGGTTCCTTTTTGCACAAAAAAACATAATTCAGTACTGTTACTGGATACAGGGAACATGACTGAAATGGTGGCAGCATGATAAAGGTCTATGGTAAGAAATAGAAATTTAGGAGGGACCACGCGAGGGAATGTAGCCTAGTGGTTAAGGTTTGTAACTCATCGTTAGAAGGTCAGGGGTTCGAATCCAGCTGATGGGCAAGCTACTTGCCACCCCCACTTGCCTCTCTCCACCCAGGAGTATAAATGGTACCGGCAATAGCCAAGGAAAACCTTCGATGGACTAGCATCCTATCCAGGGGGAATAGAAATATTCTCAGTCATTTGATGTCAGTGAAAGCAGACACATTGGCTTGTGACAGGCTTTACGCAGTCAAGGCACTCTTGACTAAAATAAGTTGTGCATACATGTACTTGGTGCCATATGCACACAAACTCTGGCTTTACTACAAGTATGTCCCCCGGAAAGTGTCCGTCTGATTAATTTTAAAATATCTACAAAACCATGAAGTCAATTTTGAAAAATGTTGATTGTGCAGAAACTCCTTATCCTTGGCCTAAACCCCTACGAGTTTCATTAAATTTTTGTCACGCGTCGCTGCACAATGGTCAATTGATCGCCACAACATTTTTGGACACTGTGACCAAGTTCCTTGCCTTAATTCATTTCAGTGCTGTGTTTTGTAAGCTGTGCAAAAGCCTGCATGCTATGAAAAAATCATTTGGAATCATTTGCCCTTGAACATTAATTAAACTGAGGTCTTGCCATGATGACTGATAGCCTGGCAAATGATTCCAATCCCAACCGCAGCCCTTTTCACAACATGCAGGATTTTACACAGCTTAGATCACAGCACTGAAATTCATTAAGGGAATTATTAAGGCATTAAAAAATTGTGATGTGTGACTGAAATTAAATGAAACTCATAGGGGTTGAGGCCAAGGCTTAGGAGTATCTGCACAGCCAAACATTTTCAAAATTGACCTCATGGTTTTGTAGATATTTCAAAAACAGTCAGACGGACAGTTTTTGGGGACATACTAGGGTATAACTTCTAGCTTGGGGGGAATCTGTGCATGCACCAACTTTTCAAGGCGGGCACTGAAGGCAACTGCTATATTGTTTTTGTGCAATTCGAGATTTTAAATAGGGGGTGGGGCACCCAGAGGGGGGGGGGATCTCATGAGTGATCAAAAAGCGGCATCTAATGTTCGTGCGCGGAGTTCCAAACAACAAAAACACCGCGTTGTGAATCGCACTGCACAAAATGATAGACTTATGAGCGCAACTTACGGGGTCTGTTTCGCCCAGTATTTGACGCCCGGTTTTTACTATGCCTAAGCCCTCCCACACCATGGGGAAGACGGGGCCCTTGGTGATGAACTCGCAGAGTCCCTTGTAGAACTTCTTGTCCTTCAGATCAATGTAGTGCTGCTGGACAAGCTCTGTTGATGGCTGCAAGAATAAACGGCAGAAAATAAGAGTGTTGTTGTACATGTATGCATACTGGTAGTCATAGTAGAAGTACTGGTACTCATGAAAATGTACACTCAACCATGGGCATCAATCCTGGGGTGGACAGGGGGACATGTCCACCCCCCCCCCCCCCCCCCCCCCCACTTTTTGAAGGGTGGGGACACAATATCAAATGTCCCCCCCCCCAGATTTTTGAACTCGTGTCTCATTTACAGGGCCCTATTACATGTATTATGTACTACAATGTATCTTTTGCTTAGAAAATATTGGTTAAAGTGGTCAGAAGTTGCCTCAGATAGCATCGCAGAGCATTTTAGAATCCAAAATTTCTGGTAGCTGATTCAGTGACTCCAACCTCGAAAACGATGTTCAAATAATTATCTTCTGCTAAGAAAACATTAGTTAAAGCATGGTAAGAAATTGCTTCAGATCACACCAAAGAGCATCTAGAATCCAATTTTTTTCGGGGCCCTTAAGCGAACCCCATGCCGTAAGGGCTTCGCGCTCGCATCAGTTCTGATCAAGGTATGTCCGCCCCACTTTTGAGAAGCGATTGACGCCCCTGCACTCAACCAAAAAAGAAAGTCCCCCCCCCTCCAATACTTTTTTGTCTAACTCAAAAACTACTGAGCATCTCTCGCTCAAATAACAAGTGATCAGTACAGAAATTCCTTAGCAATCCAGCCATACACTTTGTTTGGCCCAAAACAGTGATAATGTGTACGAATTATGCAATTTATGACAAATGATACCGAAAACAGTTGCACTTTTGCATACGTGCAAGTTGTGGTTCACACTCACCTTGCACGTATACAACAGTGCATTTTTTTTCCCAGTACCATTTGTCATAAATTGCATAATTTTGGACACATTATCACTGTTTTGGGCCAAACAAAGAGCATGGGTGGATTGCTATTTAAAGGAATTTTTGTACTGATCAGTTGTAATTTTAGCAAGATGTGCCCAGTAGTTTTTGAGTTAGGCAAAAAACGTTTTATTTATTAAATTACTTCTTTTTTTTTTGGTTGAGTGTACTTGTACTCATAAAAAATGCACTCGAAATCATGAAAATGTAATTGTACTCAAGATCAGCACCCAGTGCGTGGAATAGACTTGATTTTATTCGAAATACACCTTCTTTTTTATCTTTTAAGTCGGCACTGAAAACATATTATTTTTGTCAGGTTTTTGATTAATATTCCAAGTGATTGTGATTTTTTAGCCTTCCTGTGTATTTTAATTAAAAATTCTCTTTGACCTTCACTCATTTTGAATTGTTTGAAAGCATGACTTTACCCTCAAAATCGGTAAACGAATGTTTAATACCCACATTGCATGTAGATACAAAGCGCAGAGTGGTACCAAACTTGTTCAAAAAGGACTAGCATTCATTTGAATTTAAAACTCTGAAGAAATGCTGAAATTCTGACATTCCAACTAATGAGCTACTCGACCAGTGGTGAGGTATTTATGAGGTTTTTTTTTTAATAATGCTGGTACTGGTAACAATAGGCTGTCAAGGCACATTGAAACCACAACTGTGTGGGTCATTTTTGAAACATGAGTAAACATGTATTCAATTTACATGGTTTAAATTTCCCTTCATTTACTTTTACAGTGAAATCTCAATAAGTCAAACCTCAGGAGGAATGGGCTCAAATTTTGAGTTAAGCAGAGTTTTGAGAACTTTAGCAAATGGATTTTCTTTTCAACAACAATTGATGGGAATAAGTTCTCACTTTTAGTTAGAAGGGTTTTTGAGTTAGCAGGTTTTGACTTATTGAGATTTCACTGTAGTCAACCACTTTGTGCCAGGATAATTTTTGCTGAACATTTAGATTTTCGCAAAAGGCAAAATTTTCCAGCCAACTTCTGATATATGTACAGCCAAACACCACAAACACTGATTTGCAAGAGTGATTTCAACAGTATTTGTACAACATTTCTTGCTGAAACCTCATATGTTTCAATAGGTTTAGCATGAACTGTACAACAATAGGCCGTGCACAACGGCCAATTCAAGATCAACACACGGTCCAACTCCACAGACTTCACAGACTTTGTGTGTGCACAAAAGGTACGAGGGATCAGCGTGTGTAGATGTCACCCGGAGGCGAGTCAAGGCAATCTTGACGTCTTAACCTGTCAGCTGTGCCTGCGTATACAAACAGCCAGTGCGTGTTATCACGTCCACCGACACGAACTGGTTAATGAAATTAAATGGCATCACCTTTTGATAAGAGACATACTCAAATTTGTTTCCCATTGAATGGAAGGGGAAGTTACATGTAAATGTGTTCATGTATGTACGCCAAAAATCACAGTATCGTACGACTGCTACATGTATCAGAATATTCGTGTGGACCCCATCTTGTTCACTGTAGCGATGTTCTACTCGACCATCTCAGCAGACAAGATCTGTACATGTAGTATGCCTAACATTCCGCTTTCTTATAAAATATGCTAACATTTCCGCAGGACTTAGCACACCGAACTCCTTGTATAAAAGCACACTTTTTAATTCTCAGCGTCTGTGTGAGGTTTATTCTCAGCCAGACTGGAATTTGTCATGAGCCAGCACTGACAGCAGTCATTAATTCCATGATCGTTATTTACTTAATTATTGGTAACCATAGTGATATACCTGCAAATAATTAATGAGGCTTTCTAAAGAGAGGGAGGCCTATTAAAATAGAAATGTGGATTTACATGTAAATATGGGAATAAATCATTTGTGCTTGGCTGGTTTTAGACAAGTACATTTAAAACCACCTCTGGATGCAGATAACGGCCCGAGGCGGAAAAAAAGGCTTCCAAGTTGAAATGTAGGTTTCAAAAGTATGAAACTTAAGTTAAAAACACAACTGAAAAAGCAGTATCTGAACATCATTACATTTGTTTTTCAAAAAAAAAACTTAATAATTTAAAATCTTTTTTGTGAGTACCACAAAAATCAAAACTACGTTGTATGACTGCTCAGCTACCCAACTAACTCAAGAACATCAAACCAATAATGGAAAGAATGATTACCGAGGCCACTTTGGCCAGTGTGCATCAATCTGCTCTATCGCCCGATTGCACTGGACTATCAGTCATTTATATTCACAGATTGTTTTGAAATAGGCAGTGGATATTTGACCATAAACTGGCCTCCAATTTTGTTTTTAGCACGTTTTACCGGCACATCACTGAAGTTAACATGGTCAGTGAGAGTTTTCCGGGACCAAGAAAGTTTTACCCTGAAGAAATTTGTCTGGTTTAATGCTTTCTTTAGGATATAGATGCTCTTTAGGATATGTATGTGTTGTGCCCATTCTTGAAAATCACGCATTCTCGAGAATGGGCATGCACATTCTTGAGAATGTGCAACTGGATCCTTGCTCAATCTTGGCAAAAAATAACTCTTCCAGATTGAGCGCACATTCTCGAGAATGCGCGACAAGATAACGGTCTTGTCGATGCCGAGCACCGGCTGCGCTTGGCAAGTCTAGCTGAATCCTCGTTCACTGATTCTCAATAATTATACTGTTGCAACGCAAGGCGCTGAAAAGTAGAGTGGATATGATAAGTAAAGGCGTATTAATATGGGGGGGGGGGGGCGGGAAAATATAAGAGACATAATAATACTAGTGCAAAGAATTCTGATTTTTGGGATAATAAAAGCGGGGGGGGGGGGGGGGGGGAACGTAAGAATGAAGAATGTGAAGAATGAGAATGAATACTGCGACATCCCATAGTGCTAATGCTATTTCCCATTTAAATTGCCACCAATTTATTGTTCACATCCCACCATAACGTCGCAGAGCTGGATTCTATCTAGTCAAAAGAGCAATTTTGGCAGCTTCTGGACATCGTTTTTTTTTCGTGGCACGCATATGATACATGCAGGGACTTGTAACTTGTCTAGCCTAAACAAAGCACTTCCCAGACTAGTTCCCAGTCCTCCGTTATTACAAAACTTCCCATAGTGGGCAGAAAAAAGCAATAATAACAGGTTTAATTTGATTCAAATTATCGTAGTTATACGAGTACAGAAGCATAGCACATTTTCTTTCCTCTTTATATGAATTGTTTCCCTTTTAACCGCTATACAATTCATTTAACATAATTATGTCGTGCAATGTTTGTTAAGATTGGGCAAAATTCATAAATTGTGCACGTGATATTCCCACCCAATCTTAAGAATGAGCGCTCATTCTTAAGAACGCGTGCTCGTTCTTAAGAATGGGCGCTCATTCTTTAGAATGCGCGCCCATTCTCGAGAATGTGCATGCCCATTCTCGAGAATGCGTGATTTTCAAGAATGGGCACAACATATACTCGCGTTTACATTAAATGGGTGCATTTTTAAAGCTTTTGTTCTTTGCTTCTCCACTTTTTAGTGCTATTTAATTACATTTTTGTTGTTGGGATGTTCACAAAATACCTTGAAATCCCTGTTTTTTTTCTCATCACAAAAAAAAAGTGGGGGGGGGGGAATGATTCAATAGCCCCCCCCCCCCTGTCAAAAAGGGGGGGGGGGGAATACCCATATCTGGCAATCACTTGTCACCCTGTGCACAAACCCTATCAGACTGGTCTGACAATTTGTGTTTTCTCAGTTAATACTTCAATGAATTCCCTGCTAAATTTGACTTTTTACGACATAGGCCTATCACTTTTCTGATGGCTGAGTGATACTGATAAGTCACAGTGAAAGGGAAAATTAATATTGGTCAGATATGGGAATCTTTCCGTGTGGGGGGGGGGGGGGGGGGGATATATACAACCAACCAACCCCCCTCCATCCCTTGGAGGATTTTTTAAAATGGGAAAATAGCACCCTCTCTCACCCCTCTCCGACTCAATCCAACTCCATTTCTACCAAGTCCAGTATTCACTTCCTGGGCACATGCTGGGAAACACTTTTTTCCCGATCCTCCCCATACCCATCCGATATACTAATACTGATACACCCCCATGGAGGGTGTTATCAATAGGGGAAATAGCGCTCTCTACCACCCCACCCAACTTAGTCCCACTCCGTATCCACGGCACGTGTCCATTGAATTTTAAGGGGTGATATTCGTCTTCGAGTTCTGTTCTTCAATTACTCTAAATAAAGTAGTGGGTCCTATAGGGTAAATACAGTAGAGGGTCCTGGGGTAAATAAAGCGCCCTCTATTGATGACTTCATGCTCATCCACCCCGCATCCGCCGGCCAAGACGTCTCACTCGGTAAATATACTACGTACTTGTCAATAATTCACTCTCTATAGCGCCCTCTTTTGATCACAATTTACTTCACGCTTATTCACTCTTTATACCGCCCTCTTTTTTTTTTTATACATCTACATTCATACCTAGCCCTGGTGGACTCCCTTTCCTCCCTACGTTACGGAGGGAGTCCTGAGTACACATGTGCTCACAACCGAACGAAAACATTTCTGACCAATAATTTCAATATTTTTACCTTGTTGGAGAAGCTAATTTTTACGTCGTAGTATTCTATGTGTCCTTATCTGTTAGTACGCTGGGTTCAGGAATTCCATATGCGATGGTGACTGACGTCAATCAGGAAAATAAACTCGAAAGCATCGTTAAACTTGTACGTGTTTAGTCTCTTTTCATCAGTTTCTCACCGCCGAGTCTATTCTAGTCGTACATCATGTACGTCTGTACGGTGCAGCGTGTAGTCTGGTTCCCTAGACCGGACAATTATTCTCGACGGTCATTATCACATCTGGTCCGGGGGACAGACTATGCTGCATGAATAAGCAGTGCGCACGCGCGATTTGCTTAGTAACCACCCTCATACGCACGCGCACTTACTTGAAGGTGCGGTCGCTAATCCAATGACCGAGCGTGTTTTCGCGCCAGTTACCAGAAACACGTTTCGGCTTTGGTCATTGGTTGAGCGTTTTCCTGCCGTCGGTTGGCTGGAGTGACGTCACGGTTCCAACCAAAACTAAACAAATGAGGGCGCTTAGCGTGCGTGCGCGCTTTCGGATTGTACGCACGTACATTTGTACATATCATGTACATTGTACATGACGTACGACTCTGGGAATAAACTGATGAAAAGCGACTACAAACACGTACAAGTTTAACGTTGCTTTGGAGTTTATTTTCCTGATTAACGTCAGTCAGCATCGCATATGGAATTCCTGAACCCAGCGTGCTAACAGATAAGGACACATAGAGTATGTAGGCGTGAAATATTAGCTTCTATAACGAGGTAAAACATAACAAAACTCTGGTAAAAATGTTGTATGGTTTCATGTAGAAAAGTCTTGTCCTGGACGTTAGTCGTATTGCAATGAAGACTTCGTCCAACCTGGGCTACGTTCATACCCTACATTGAGTACATACCCGCGTACGCATAGGAAAAGTCTCATAATACCAATATAAAAAAAACCCTTTTCTGGCGTGGCCTTGCATGCTATAGTTGCTCCAAATCATGCATTTTTACTCTTAATACACTAACCCAATTTATACACAAATCTCAAATCGCAACAACCTCCCCCCCCCCTCCGCCATGCAAGCCCCACCCCGCACTCTCCACCACGTTCGATTTTCATTGACTTTCATGAGAAACACCCGTGCACAATCTACTCCTAGAACTATGAGGCTCCACGTAGTGGAGCTACGTGGAGCCTCATAGTTCTAGGAGTATGCACAATCTTGTCATGCTTGTCGTCGTACCTGCGTGATTTTGCCAGCGACCATCGTGAATCCCTTCTGCTCAAATCGCTTGATAATGTCAGCGATCAGGCCCCGCCTCACGCCGTCGGGCTTCACCATGATGAAAGAACGTTCATTCTTCGACATCTTGCCTCGATAAATGAAAGAAAAAAATGCGAGAATGGTAGCTAGCATGTGGACGACTGTCGAGCCGGCAAAATACAAGAGGACTTTCTCAGTCTGGATTTCGACTCGCCGGTATTGTATTTTTGTGTAGTACATGTCACTATGTGAGTCTGAAACCAGACTTTTAAAGGCCCTTCAATCAGCGCAGCCAGCCAATCACGTGTAGTTATGTTCATGCTTAGCTATTTCATGAACAGAAAAGGTGACCAACGAAACAAGAAAATTGTAATAAATTTAATTACTTGTTCGAACTAATTGCTTGAAAATTTGAAATAATGAATATTACATTGAAAGAGGATCGAACCCGTTCTTTCCGTCCAATTACAATTAAAAAATTGGTACCTAGGGGAAATATAATTGCACGAAACAGCCGTACATAGATAGCTGAACTGAGTCACCGTTGGTGGCGCTATAACGCACGTGTCTTTCTTGATCTTCAAACTGGCTTCGTGTTAGAGAATTTCGATTAGAAGTGAACTGCGCTAGGCATTCAGTTTTGGCGTGGAAACAAGATAAGGTTGTGATGCGAGTTATTTGCTATGGACCGTCTTGTCTTGCTTAATTAAACAGCTGTGCAGTGTACTTTTTGGGGTATGTTTGTGTGCGACTCTGGAGGAATTAAGGAATTCCTACACCGGTCATGCCGATGCAGCATGTACTGCCATGACTACATGACCATACCATTGGCATTGCACATTACCCCTGCACTATGTATGGACTATGGGGTTATTGACCAGCTATTTCTTTGAATTCCTTCTTCTTTGACTTTGTATATTGGTACCACCAGATATAACTAGGGGTAGACCCATCATGGAGCTGTAATGTTTTATAGCTTTATGGTCCCATAAACATGTAATCGTGTGTCAAATAGTAAATACTGGACTCCTTGCAGTGGCGTGTGCTAAAAACTGAGTAAAACTATATTAAAAGTTTCTGAAAAGTTGTGAACCCCCCCGGTTCTACCTAATTTAGACTTACTTGTTGCAGATATTTTTATGCTTACATGTAGTTGTCAGTTTTATATCTTCTGTTTTGAATGTATTCATCAGTTGTTGTTTTTTGTGTGAACATCATTCCCCATATTTTTATGCTAATTGTTTTTGTTTTTGTTTTCTTTTGGTTAATATTTAGTTCTTTTGTTTGCTTGTTTATTTTTTGGGTGGGGGTGTTTGCTCGTTTGTTTGTTTGTTGTGCTGTTCGGTTGTTTGCTTGTTTTTTGTTTTGTTTTGTATCTTTGTTTGGGTGTTTTCTGGGTTGTTTGTTTTGTTTTGTTTTTGTTTAATTCTGTTTAGAGGTTGATTTTTGCCACTGCTAAATTTGCCACTTGTTGGTTATTTATGTCTTCAGTATTCCATATAATTCATCAGTTTTTTCATCTTAATTCTTTTGTTGGCATCCATGTATGTTATCTCCCCCATTTTTTTAAGAGCTTTTTGTTCCATGTTTTTAAGTGGTTAATTTTGCCACTGCCAAACTTGCCATTAATTTGTTAGTTTTATATTTTTATGTTCTTATGAATGTGTGTTGTTTTATTAACTATTGCTCTGTTCACAGATTTCATAATATTTATTCCGTGTTCCCTTTTAAGATTGGATTGATAGGCTTTCGAGTCGTAGTGTTTAAGTTCACTTTTATTAATCCTGGCCATCTTAATTTGGGTTTTGTTCTGTTCTTGTTTTGTCTTATTTTGAAACAACAACCTTGCCTTGTTATCATTGCTGCCTTTATTCAGTACCTCCTTGAATAAATAATAATAATAATAACAACATGTACCTCTCCACTGCAACACTGCATGTTCTAGCCACATGCACCATACATGCGTGAAACATTGACCATCACATGTTGGAATTTTTTGCATGGATGTTGGACAACTTTAATAACAGTTGAGATTGTTCCAGACACCTTGGGGCAGGGCTTATTTTGGATTGGTCTCATGCCGAGCGGATAAGAGCACCGGACTCAAGCTCTGGTGTTTCTGAACAGCAGAGTGAGGGTTCGAGTCCCGGTCTTGACACTTGTGTCCTTAAGCAGGACACTTAACCATTATTGCTTCATCTTTCGAGTGGGACGTAAAGCCGTAGGTCCCGTACGTTGAATAATGCACGTAAAAGAACCCAGTAACACTTGTCGCTAAGAGAAGGGGTTTGCCCCGGTGTTTCTGGCAGTGCAGTTATTTTTATTCATATGAGGCTGCACTTTCAAGGAAGGAAGGAAGGAAGGAATGGATATCTGAACAATCTTTGCTTGTGTTCTTGGGAAAGACACTTCGCTACAATTGCCTCCTTCCACCAAGGAGTGTACTGTAAATGGGTACCTGTGAGGGTAGAGACCTGATTGCACTGAACTGCTGCAGATTTATAACCCGTTGAACAGGGATAAGAATTGTGAAGCGCTTTGGTTGATTAAAAAAGTGTTATATAACTTGCACCACATTATTATTATATTTTTGTGTTACTTTTTGTTTCCTTTGTAGATGGATTTTCTGGGTGTTTGCGATTCGGGAGAGTGGGGCGATACATCAGATGCTAAGGACCTGCATTCCAAGCTGTTCAGTCCACAGACAGGAGCAGTTGAAGCAAGGCCAAAGTCCAAAGTAATCTGATGTTTACTGATAACCCTAAGTCTTTATAGTGTACACATGTCATTGGATGAAGGACCCCATGATGACACCCCTCCCCCATGGTGCGTCTATGGTAGTGTTGTAGTCCATCACAAGTCCCTGTAAGTCCATCACAAGTCCTGCAACCCCAGATGCCTCTGTACTGATGACATCACACTTTGTTTTCGTGTGTGCTTTCCTATGGTGCTCAGTGGACCGTTGGCCCCCACTGGCTCCATAGGAAAGTGCACATGTAAACAAAGTGTGACGTCATCAGTACAGAGGCTTATTCGCTCGTACCCCCCCCCCCCCTCGCCCTGCAAACAGGACGCTGGGATACGCTGATGAGCTTCACAGACTCTTGTGAAAGAAGTGGCTTATGACCTATGTATCTGGCTGCAGCTGTTCAAGACCACATTTAGACAATGTGCGCAAATGCTATCCGAAAACTTCCCATAGAAATGCGCACGTTCCATACCGGATGTGATTTCTGTTTCATTGCGGACCATGTGGACAGAATTTTGAGCATCGCATAATGCAATCCGACCGTTCATTATTCGAAACAGAGCCTGAGCAAGTGACGGGAATGGTAAATTTACAACACATATAAGTTTTACAGAATTTCCTACATTATTACGCTTTTCAACGAAAAAGAAATATCTGAACTGGAATAAAAGAGTAATAAATCAGTCTTAACGGCCGTTTTAAACCTTGCAGAGTCATGACGGTGATGACGCGCAGGTCACAGGTCATGCAAAATTCAACCAATCAGAGTGTGAATTCATCAGAGTATCCAAGCATCCTGTTTGCAGGGCGAGGGTACTGGCGAAAGAGGCTTATTCAAGTCCCAGGTTATTCAATTCAACTTTGACCAAGGCATTCCGATACGTTTTATCCCCTGTTGCTTGTGACTGGACTTGTGATTTACTGGTGACTTGTGATGGGCTTGACTACAACTCTGGTCAGGGGTGCATCATGTCCTTCAGTGGCTGTGAAACACAGAAGGTGCATCAAGTCACAAGTGACAAATGATGTATATACATGTACTCTACCTTTAAAGGGGCACTAGGTCCTGAAATCCCCGAAAATGTCATGTTTTGGATTGTTTACTTATTGTTTATCCTATTTTAAACATGTGGTTGAAAGGAAACCAACCTAATGTCTTACCGTTCCCGAGAAAAGACGGAAAAAAACCGCTTGTTTACATCGGACTCGACGGAGTACGCATACGTTTTTCGTGTCATTCTCATACAGTGTACGATAAACACGTTGTGTGTCTGGGGAACAGTGGTGACCAATTACTAATGCAAAAAAATTGTGGTTTCTTCAACGTCCGCAAAGGGCGAACACTTTATGGGTACGAGTGAAATCACAGCTGGCATCCAAACAGCTCGAATTTATGGGGTCCGAAATTCGTTCTCGCACGCATAATACAGGAATAACACAAAAACGCCCAGTTTTTAAAGGATAGTTGTGTGGATGTTTCTATCCTTGTTTTAAATGTTCTTTCCAGTTAACATAATCTCGTTCAAAGCGCGTTTTGTAGCCAAATTGGGCTGTTCCAGGACCTAGTGTCCCTTTAAAAAATATGCCTTACTGAATCTTTCTAAATCCACCCTTGTCAAGGAAATCAATGCAACATTACTTGAACTGGCAACTTTAAAGACACCATCTACTGAGCGTGCACTGAGTCCGTGCCACCTGCTTTTACTCTACCACTTTTCACTATTTAACTAGTTACGGTGAACTATTGTTTTCTCCACAGAAATTCAAAGCAACAAAAAAGAAACAAGCTACAGTCGGTGAAAAACAGTCTGACAGCAGAGACATACATGTAAAGAAACCGAGGGAAAACAAAACGTCTGCAAAACTGCAACATGGTTCAGTGAATAAGGAGACAGAAACTAGCGGTACATCAGTCAAACGTGAAAAGGTTACGACAAAGAAGAAAAAGAAGAGGAAAATAGACACCAGTGAAAGCGAGGTACCAGTGAAGAAAAAGAAGGCAAAGAAGGCATTGCCGTCAACAGCTACTCCTGTTGCACAAGGAGAACAAAACAAGGAACTGAACAGTCAACAAAATGATGACAATGAAACCCTTGGCGAGGATAGGACGATAAACGTTGACCAGATAAAGAAGAAAAGAAAACGAAAGCCCAGAAACAACAAATTCAAAACTGCAGAGTTTGGATATGTAGCAAAGCCGAGCGAAACCAGGACCTTGGACGCTGAGTCAGAAATCCGAAACCAAAATGGAAAATCCATCGCACGAACTTTAGAGGTGAAAGGAGAAGTTAAAGACGGAAACAAGAAAGTTGGCAAGAAAAGGTCCAAAAAACGCAAAGTAAAAAAACCTGCAAAGACACAGATTAATCAAAGGACTCCGTCGAAAAACAACGTAGACCGAACAAAGGACAAATCTGAAGGATTTGCGCAGTTGTCGTCCCCTGGAGACAAAGTGCAGAAAAAGGCATCCGAGAATTTGGACCAAAAAAGCAAAACTGAGAATGACGTCTCTGAGGAAAGGACTAAGCGAAACAGAAAAATGAAAAGAGCTAATGTCAAAATCGATTCCCAGCTTTCTAAAGAGGAAATCGAGCCTGTGGATAGACAACATTTGAAATCAGCAACCAAATGTGAAAAGTTAGAAGGTGGCAAATTGGCGGTCAGCCAAGATGAAGACATTTCGGAAGAGCCTTTGCCGGACCTTTCGGCCAAGCAGGCCCTCAAGTCCAAGATGGAGGCCAAGCTGCAGTCGGCCCACTTCCGGTTCCTCAACGAGCGGCTGTACAAGACCACGGGATCCGAGGCCCAGCAGATGATGGCACAGGACAGGGAGTCGTTTGATATCTACCATCGGGGCTTCGCGCAGCAAGTCAGGCAGTGGCCCGTCAACCCCGTGGATAAGTTCATTGAAGATCTCAAGTCCAGGTGGGTAGTACAGTCAGTGAAAATGTGAACGGGGGGCTTGGTCATTACTAATAGACCTCAGAAACCGGGTGAGATTTTGGTACTTTCTGGCAGATTGTTTTGGAGCTACAACTCGTGTCAGGGCAATAAAGGAAAATTGAGAGATCAATGTTCTGAGACAAACTTAATAAGCATGTACCAGTTTAACACTGCAAAAAATGCAGTACAGTTGACTCAGTAGAACAAACTCGGCCGGATCCAGTTAAAATGTTGGTTATATCAGAATTTTGTATTAAGAGTAATGTCAGTCCCATTTATTGTGCACATTAAATGCACAATCGAGACCGCGATTTTTATGTTCACTATAATCAGAATTGAGACTCAACTTTATTTCATATCTACAGCCATATAACTCGGACCACGCTGCTTTGAAGATGATTTTGTCTGACTTGGACAAAGTCTCTGTCTGATTATCACAATTTGGACACCAAGTGGTTAACCTTTCCCAAGATCTTTCGTAGGGTATAATCTGAGAATTCAATATTAATTTCCGTTAATAAAACAGAAGATTATTCGATAGTTGCTCAAGGCACTGTAGCTCACAAGTGAAAAAGGGACTGAAAACCCCAATCTATACATTGGTCTGGTCGGGGATCGAACCCGGGACACAGTGGTGGAAGGCAAGGAAAGTGCTACTGCACCGACCTGACTTCTTGAATATACTGTCTTTAAACAATTACAATTTTTGTAAATTTGTTTTATTTCAGACCAGAAAACTTGACGGTCGGTGACTTTGGTTGTGGAGATGCACAAATTGCACGGAGCGTCAGCCAGACTATCCACTCGTTTGACCTGTGTGCCCTCAACGAACACGTGACAGTTTGTGACATGGAAAAGGTAGGTCCTTTACTAAAATTAACCTTGACTCCCAAGGCATTTTTGTTAGGATGCAACCTCAATCCTGCAAAATCCTCCAACTGCCTCCATGTGAAAATTGCATACAGCCTCAATCCTGCACAATCCTCCATTATTTCTTGAATGTGGTCCTCGAAGAGGTGACTGCCTCAATCTTGCAAAATCCTGCAGCAATCACTGTCAATATGTTGAGGCAGAGCCAGTGACATCCTAACTTCATGCACGGCTCAGGATAAACAACACAAGGTCCGGGCCAAGAGCTTGACACAGTGCATCGTCCAAAATCAGCCACACATTTTTGCCAGTTAGCCTCAATCCTGCAAACTCCTCCATTTTGCAAAAAGGATTTGGATAATTTGGGAAGGTAAGGGTTAAATTATGGTACAACCTAGGCAGTTATTTTAGGTGGCAGACATGTTAGTTATGGCATTGCAATTGAAATTGGACTATATTTTACTGTCTAGCCAGAAGTTGTTGGGCCAGCCGGCAGCAATTCCCGGTGTTTATTTCTCATCGTCAATTTTCATATTTCTTTTTAACGAGTATCAACCGTAAATGTTTTGATGTAACTTTTGTGGCCCTTTTTATAGCTTTCGTAGTGCAAATGGAACTGGTCCAGAGCTTTATGACTTAGTCTTCAGAATTTGGAGGCCTTACAAACTTGAAAACCGCTGCAGTCAGTGCGGCTTATACGCCAACGTCAAATTTTAATTTGCAGATTTTCGCTTGCTGCAGCTTATACTCCGGGCGGCTTATATTCCAAAAATTACGGTTTTTCATTCACAGGTACCCCTGAAAAACAACTGTCTGGATGTAGCCATATTCTGCCTGTCTCTGATGGGAACCAACTGGATTAGCTACATCAAGGAGGCCAACAGAGTGCTGAAAATGAAGTGAGTGATCACTTATTCCCCCATGGGTTTCCTATCACATTAAATTCATGGAGGCTCCATTCAACGGCGAAAGCACTGTGTCAGCTATTCACTCTTTTCACGCTCCGCCATAGGTATGCCTAGCCTCGATCTGGCAAGTTTACACAAAGAAAATAGCCGGTTCAGTGATCTGAACCCCGACACGGGAATCACTGAACCGGCTATATTTATTGTGTAAAGTTGCCAGATCGAGGCTCTGCATGCCTATGGCGGAAGCGTGAAAAGAGCGAATTGTACCAAGTACATGTAACTGCCTGTACCAAGTAACTGCCTGTACCAAGTAACTGCCGACTGATTATCTGAACACAGCTGGCAAAGTGCTATCGCCATTGTAAGGTACCTCAATGAGTGTACTGTGATCACGTTTGCAGAATGGTCTATACTAAACACTGCAAAAAAAGAAAGTCCACGCTCATTGGAGGGGTTATAATTTTGAATCTGATCGTCTTATGATGACGTCATTGACATAGACCTTTGGGGAATGTTGTTAGCTACATTTTGATACCCTGTTTGCTACCAGAGACTGTGAATCGTCCAACATTGACAACGGTTTATGAAAAATGATGCAGTTTGAAAAATTGCAAATTTAAAGAGTATGAAAGTGGAAATTGCTGCGTGACAATGTTACACTGCGCGAAAGGAACGGCAGGGAAAATAGATCGCACAGTGCTTGTATGCATTGCAGCATGTGAAATTGAATTACCTGCGTAATGTTCGGGCACTGTGCAGTCGATAGGGGCCAATTACAGGCGTGTGTGTTTGCGCTTAGCAATTTCTCCTCGCTTAATCTTTAAATTTGCATCTTTTCAAACTGCATCATTTTTCATAAATTGTTGTCTATCTTGGACGATTTACAGTCTTTGGTAGCAAATGGGGTATCAAAATGTAGCTAACAAAATGTTGCCTCGCCCGCTTTACCCGGGGGGGGGGGGGGGGGGGGATGTGGCTTCGCCGGTGGTTCCACCTCGGTCTAACCCCGGTCAAAATTGCACCCAGGCCCACATTTGGATTGGATTTTCAGTCCCTGCCTAATTGTGTTGATTTTTCTTTGAAAATAATTTTTTGGGGTTTTTTTCTCCCACATATAACATTTTTCTAAAATAACATGTTCTTCATAATCTATACCCTCTAGGTTTTTTGCACAATGGTGCATTTTTTTTTTCCTTTCTAATTTTCAGGGGTCAACTGAAGATAGCGGAGGTCGCCAGCAGGTTTGCCTCGGTCGCCGAATTCCTGAAGATCATGAAACAGCTGGGATTCAAGAAAGAATCTAAAGTAAGCACACACAACAGCTGATCATTATCTTACAAATGCTCATGTTTTAATTTTTCACCTGTGCCCAATTTCTTAGCTCTGTAAAGTAAGTGACTGATAGCAGAAAATTCCGTCAGCTTATTTCACAGTAAACTTATTATTTCACAGATTAGCAAGAAAGTTTGGCTTTCCATCAGTAACGTGCATTAAGACAGGGTTAGCACTGAATTTCTGATATGCACAGAATGGTGAGCGTAAGTGCAGATATCCACGGTAAAGCAGAGCCTCGAAATGGGCACAGGCAATGCCATGTGGTCCCGTGGCCTGATGAACTTGGAATAACTGTAATGTGCTTTGAGATTGTATTATAAGCATTACAATTTAATAGACTTGACTTAAGACTACATTGCCTTGCGATTGATTTGCCCATGAACTTGTGATGGCCTCGACTACAACACACTCTCTCTATCTCGCCTTTTTTTATACTCTTGAGGGACTTAGACAACAAATCTGAACAGTTCTCTCTCGTTTCTTGTTTCCACGCCAGGATTTTTCCAACAAGATGTTCCTGATGTTCGACTTCACCAAGGAGGCATCCACAAAGAAGGTGGAGTTGGAACGGGGCGAGGTCTTGAAACCGTGCCTCTACAAGCGACGCTGAAAACAGACTCAGCAACCCTGGACAGTAAAAGCAAGGGGGTAGGCTAAGGGGCACATGTTGCCCTGCACACACCACAACCCCCCCCCCCCCCCACCTTGTCTCTCAACTTACTAATTTCCAATGAAGGTGAAGTTGGAATGAGGCGAGGTCTGTAATCCATCCGTGGACACAACTTGGACACGTGGCTCAAGACGCACATACGCCAAACTGGTGAAAAACCTTTCCCTTCTGGGTCACTGTCAAATTACCGGAATTTTCCCTGATTTGTGTGGGTTTTCCCCTAAATTTCCTGAGTTTTCGCTGACTGGAAAAATGGAAACTCATTTTCAAGGTTTTCCTGGGAACCCTGTAATGGGCCATATTTTTTTAAGCGAATGTAATTTGACACCATTTTGGGGCTACAAACAATAGAAAAATCACATACATTGTAGTAACTTGATCTAAATCTAAATTATAAGGATGGTTAAAACATTTTTTATTTTTAAGCTGTTGCAATATGTCAATTTGCGTTGGTAACCTTGGATTCACCCAGATGGGATCGTTACAGCGCCCTCAAGAATATGGCCCAATGAGCAATGTTTTCTTAAAATTAAAAATGTCAGCATAAAAAATAATGATAATAATATGGTGCTTAGTGCTATACACCCAATTCTCAAAGCGCTTCACAATTATTACCCTGGTTCATCAGGCCATGGGACTACTTTTCTGCAGCAGCTCGAGATCAGCGCAGTTAGTGCGGCAGATAGGTGATGGGATTGTGCTTTTGAAGATACAAAAATGGCATTTACCACACAGTCAGAGTATGTCATGAGAAAGATATTTGGCTATAGGGCCATCGCAAATTGTCCTTTGAATAAAATACAGGTAATGGCATCAATTTTGAAAATTGCTTGTTATTCTACCTATATTTTTTTTCCTATCCGCTCCGTTCACAAGTACCCCCTCACCAGCAAAGAAAGTACAGTTGGGGGTGACCGACCAACACCATCTTGCCCGACTAAAATTTTGTCGCGATGCACGGAAGTACCACTGCGTGTACATAGTACAAATCCCCTGGTGTACGTGCGTCACACACAAGGAACAGTGCATGGCGTCAACCAGCTAAATGTCCCGTCTACGGGACGTCGTTGCTAGGTAAAAGAGAGCCCTCTTTCATCGGCGCACGGAGCCCATAGCCAAATGTGTGCCAAATGCCATGCTTGTATCATCAAAGGCACAATTCTCCCAAATTTTTCCCCTATCTGCCCCACTAAATCTGGTATAACTATCCTCACTGGTACCCATTCATACTCCTGGGTGGAGAGAGGCACTTGTAGTTAAATGTCTTGCCCAAGATCACAAACACCAAGTTTTCCTTTTGGGGTTGAAACCCAGGTACCACAGCACATGAGTCCAACCTGTAACCAGTGCTCTAAGAAGTACTTTCAGAGTTTTAAATTGAAGAGGAAAGTAACACAGAAGATTACATAGATTGTGGTAAAATGTCTTGCCCAAGAACACCAAAACCAAGTTTTCCTGTCGGGGTTCCAACCCAGGTACCATTGCACGAGTCCAATCCGTAACTATGGGACTGCAGCGCTCTAAGAAGTTCTTTCAGAGTTTGAAGTGAAAAGACAAGGAACAAAGAACATTACATAGATTTTAAGCATCGTCCTTCCATTTTTATTGATCATGAAGTTTTAATGCAGCAATTTACAAATTTATATGAACCAAAAGTAGCATTATTGGTTAGCACAGGAAAAAAATATATAGTAATTTTCATTTTTTTAACAAAGATAGCGTTTATTCTAAAAAGTTGTTTTCTTGGGAGAAAATAGGCAAATTTGTCATTATAGAAAATCATTCTTTGATCATTCGTCTTTACTTGTCCTCACTATGAAATTTTCTCAAAGCTTTGAAAGTCAAAGTAGGAGATGGAGTGATTTAATAAACAATTAAATTTTTTCTTAATTTTGTTTTATTATTTACAATAGATTTATAATAATTGTATATTTATAATCACATAATTCTGTCTTCACCCTGATGTTTGTTATGTTATTTAGTTTCTGGGAATTGAAGGCTATGTACAGACTATAATACATGATATTAATAAACTTTCTTTTTTAATTTCTACAACATGCAGTTTACTCTTTATATCTGTCGGTATCCAGTTGTTTTAACTTTCCCATTATAGAAAAACCAGGAGTTCATGATATGTGACCTGTCAGCACTAGATAAGCATTAAGTTGCAAATTGCCATTTTGCAGCATGCCGCAGGGCAACACCAAAATTTGATTTTTGGCTTTCAATCTGTATGTCCTGTTCTACCTTTCCTCTTTAACCACTTGACGTCGGGATTCTTTTCCCCCGCAAAAGTCCACGCTCGTTGGAGGGGTCATAATTTTGAATCTGATTGTCTAATGACAACGTCATTTATATAGACCTTTAGGGAATATTGTTAGCTGCATGTAAATTTGGATACCCTGTTTAGGCTGTAAATCGTCCAAGACTGACAATGGTTTATGAAAAATGATGCAGTTTGAAAAGTTGCGAATTAAGAGTATGCGAGTCGAGTGGAAATTGCTGCATGATAATGTGACACTGCCCACAATGAACGGCAGGGAATATCCATCGCACAGTGCTTGCATGCATGGGAGCACATGAAATTGAATTACCCGCGCTTTGTTTGGGCAAATGTGCAGTCGATAGAGGCCAATGAATTATGGGCATGTGTGTTTGCGCTTAGCAATTTCTTCTCGCGCAATCTTTTAAACTGCATCATTTTTCATAAACTGTTGATATTCTTGAATGAAATTCTTTGGTAGCAAACGAGGTATCAAAATGTAGCTAACAAAATGACGTCATAAGACGATCAGATTCAAAATTATGACTCCTCCAGTGAGTGTGGGCTTTCTTTTTTTTGCGGTATTTATATTGGCCTAATTTTACAATCGAGTCAAACACCCCAAATACTGACTCTTAATGTGATATACCATTAGAAAGCCCATGGTCTGCAGAATTCTGAAATAAAAAATCTAATTTCTTTTCACAAGTCTAACTTTATGCTCATTTTGTGGCGACGGGTCACATTATAGTCATTAAAATCTAACTAAAAATGAAATGTCAGTTTTATTATAAGTGGACTGGTTGATTCATTCTCGTATAAAAGAGTGATCAAGACAAAAACTTCCTGTTCAATGTTACTGCACAATTTTTACAAACTCCTACAATAGAGCCTTTGCAATGGCAGCCATCTTGAAGGTGCAGTGCCCTTCATCCCACGGGGCTATGCACGAGTCTACACTGAATTGAACTGAATGGAAGAAAACCTTCAAGATGACTGCTGTGTGCACAGAGTCTATATGTATGTTCAATGTGTTACCAAGGATAGTTGCTGTTATAAAACTGTGTTGGCATGAGCAACTGAGCAAAAAAAGAAAAGAAACTCCACACATTGGAGGGGCCATAATTCTGATCGTCTTATGATAACGTCATTTACATAAATGTATACAGACATTTGGGGAATTTTGTTAGCTACATATTGATACCCTGTTTGCTACCAAAGACTGTACATCACCAAATATTGACAACGGTTTATGAAATATGATGCAGTTTGAAAAGTTGCAAATTTAAAGAGTACGCGGGAGGAATTGCTAAGCGCAAACATACACGCCCGTAATTGGCCCCTATTGATTGCACAGTGTCGGAACAAAGTGAGGGTAATTCGCGTGTTACAAGCATTGTGTGGTCAATATTCCCTGCCGTTTGTTTCGGGCAGTGTAACATTGTCACGCATCAATTTCCACTCATATACTCTTTAAATTTGCAACTTTTCAAACTGCATCATTTTTCATCAACCGTCGTCAATCTTACAGTCTTTGGTAGCAAACGGGGCATCAAAAGGTAGCTAACAACATTCCCGAAAGGTCTATATAAATGACGTCATCATAAGACAATATCAGATTCAAAATAATGACCCCTCCAATGAGTGTGGACTTTCTCTTTTTGCGGTGTTTATAACAGTCTAAAAACTTCCTACATAGTAGAAAGTCCTTCCATTTATGCAATTATCCACAACACATACCCTGACATGATGTTTCTCAGAAATCACAAAGCAATTATACTATACAGGGACATACAGATATTAACGATAATAAGCAGACATTATTCACTTTGTTTCTTGCCGGACCAGCCTATCTGTTTCCTTTTGACCGAGTCACTCACTGACCGAGTTACTGAGTATATAAATAATGTCCTCAACTGAGACCTCAGCTCTAGCTTCACTAGGAAGCCTGGATTTATTCTTCAATGGCAGTGATTTTTGAAACCAAAAGAAACTATTCCTTTTTTTACAAATCTACTTTTTGTTGGGTATCTCTCACTCAAAAGAGAGTTGCCTCTCAACCTAATAATGCACGACAGACTAAACCTGACAACTCCCTGGGTAACATGCAACTTAAATGTGTAATACAACGTGCGAGCAACACCCCAATAAATATACTGCTAAAATACAGCAAATAAGTGGAGGTACCTTCAAAAAAGAGCAAAATTTCACCAATGAAAATGTCGACAAAACCCAGAAAACACTGTACACAGGGATATTTTTTCCCGACTTTTGACTGGAATCCAAAGCTTTAGAATCTGAGGGAAAGGCATTATCAGAAGTGCATCTTTCAGAATTTTCATGAAATTTTCAGACCGTTTTGTTTTTATATTGAAAATAACATCCCTAATAAACCATTGTCATGTTCAATTGTTGCAGCCATTTGATTTTTTCCCCATTCAAATCAATGTAACCAAAGCGAGGCTGGAAGGGTAAATAGTCTGGTTCCTTTTTGCACAAAAAACATTATCATTCAGTACTATTGTTGGATACAGGGAACGTGACTGAAATGGTGGCAGCATGATAAAGGTCTATATAACGTGAATTGCTTGTCTTTTGACTTGAGTCTGGATTATATTCTGATGCCCCGTTTGCTACCAAAGACAGTAGTCGGCCAAGATTGACAACAGTTTAGGAAAAATGATGCAGTTTGAAAAGTTGCAAATTTAAAGATTACGCGAGGAGAAATTGCTAAGCGAAAACAGACATGCCCATAATTGGCCCCTATCAACTGCACAGTGCCCAATCAAAAGACGGATAATTCAATTTTTGTGTGCACCCAAGCATACACGCGCTGAGCGATCGGTATTCCCTGTTCGTTTCAGGCAGTGTGACATTGTCACGCAGCAATTTCCACTTGAGTACTCTTACAATTTGCAACTTTCTAACTGCATCAGTTTTCATCAATCTTGTACGATTTACAGTCGTTGGTAGCAAACGGGGTATCAAAATGTAGCAAGGTCTATATACATGTAAATGACGTCATCATAAGACAATCAGATTCAAAATGATGACCCCTCCAATGAGTGTGGACTTTCTTTTTTGACCGTGTATATTTTGCTTCCACTGATCAGACTCTGTAGGCGTTACAAACAACCGCAAAACTGCAAAAGTCGGTCTCTGGAGGTTATTGCTCCTGTTTAAAATGTCAATTGTTCGTGTGTTTGATTTGCTTTTAATCTTCTGGCAAAGAAATTCATTGAACGGCCTGGCCAAAGCATCCTTGTGGAAACAGCTTCAAATTAGTCCCCGTTTCAAAAGTCTTTTTTTTATGTACCTCATTCAAAACCTTAGACATAACTTGGTACGGCACACCTCTGGAAGTAAACCAAGTCAGTAAACTAATACAAAATTAAGTAAGATGGCCAAATTGCAAAATCTAAGAAAAATTGCACAGAAATTAATTCAACTGTGCATCAACCTATTCCTAAACTGGAGAAAAAAACTCGCCTTTTCTTTTTTGGTTACATAATAGTTTCCAACATGTCAACTTGTAAACAGTGATTCATTCAAAAAAGTTGGGAAATAAATTATTGAAAGGCACAACTTATCCTAAAAAAAAAATAGAGAAAGTGGCAAATATTATCCACGTACCCCTGCTAATGATAATTTTGTCAAATTCCTTTTGATCTTTGTATGTACACAAACTTTGTTAAACACACTAAAACATGTTTCCTTTTTCTGCACTGGCTTTTACTTTGTCTTATAATATATCACTTTGTTTTCTCTATCATATACGCAAAAATAAAGTTTAAAAAATCTAGTCGTCAAATTGCGATACTTTCCACATCTCAATATACCCTATGCAAGGAGAGTCATAGCATAGCTTGTGCACTGTGATCGTGTGTAAATTCTAGAATTACTTTATAAAACAAACAGCTCACAAAGTGTGTGTTTTCTGCGTTCGAAACTGTAAGGTTTGGTTAAGAATTTCTGAGAAAAAAAGGCTGCTAAACTCTCAGTGTAATAGAAATGTCAGACTAATAGTTTCTGGTCATCATTCAAAATCTTTCAAAAATCCTTGCTGAAATATAGAGTCAAATTCCTATTTGTGTGCACAGTCACACACCAAGCCTTTAACTACAAGATAGTAAATGTTTCCTTCTTCCACTTCAGCCCGCCCCCCCCCCCCCCCCCACCACCACCACCTCACTCCCTTCCTCCCCCCCCCCCCCCCCCAAGAGAACATAAACAAATGATGTCACTGAAACCGGCCGGGCTATCAACTGAACATACTTCATCTCAAATCTCCAATATGTAAAGCCTTCACTTTTTGTTATTCATACAATTCCAACAAGTTTAACACAGAAATTCAAGTCGCAACCAATCAAACGGCTGGTGACAGTCACGTGACAGTGCACAATGAGTGAAATTTTGACAACTAGAAGTCACATGACACTCATCAATCAATCAATCAATCAATCAAGCCGAAAAATCAGTCAGGTCACATGATAAGTCATGTGACACTGAGCATTCGACCACATGTTGGTCACCTGATGCGTGCATGAGCAATCACTCCATAAAGTGACGATCATTCTAGTATTGACAAGTAGTTTCAACTATCCAGCTACATCCAAAGAGTCTGCCAGCAGCTCCAGTCTAATAACCGGGTGCCCAATTTCAAACATCTGCTTAGCACACAAATATTGCTTAGCAAATAATTCAAGCTGGGTACCAGAGAAGACACACTTTCCATGACTTTGCAACTGGTAACCTTATATCTGCTGAGCAAGTATGTTCTGTGGTCAGCAAATTTTTCCACAGCTCCACTTAAAAGTACATCTTTATGGGCTCATAAGCTCACACATGTGACAGGGACACAGCGTGCCCAGCAGAGAGTCCTTAGTAAATTTTGTTAACACAGCGCCCTCTGTCTGTTCCCCAAGGCCAGCTTCTCCAGTTCAGAGTGTGCACAGAAGAGAACTCTCTATTAATTTAACATGGCGCCCTCTATCAGTTCCCCAAGGCCAGCTTCTCCGTTCCGAGTGTGCACAGAAGTGAACCCTCATTAATTTGTTGAACACAGCGCCCTCTATCAGTTTCCAAAGGCCAGCTTCTCCTGTTCTGAGTGTGCCAGGAAAATCCTCATTAATTCGTTGAACATGGCGCCCTCTATCAGTCCCCCAAGGCCAGCTTCTCCTATTCCAAGTGTGCGACAAGAAAATCCCCATCAATTTGTTGAACAGGGCGCCCTCTATCAGTTACCCAAGGCCAGCTTCTCCTACTCAGAGTGTGTGCCAGGAAAACCCACATAAATTTATTGAACACAGCGCCCCCTATATAGTTCCCTGTGGCTAGCATCTCCCGTTCCGTGTAGCAGTCATCATACCATGGTGACTGGACCCTCGTCGCTGTATCTCGTCTCTGGTTGTCGATGCCCTTGGCTCTCAAACAACCGCTTCTTGATTTTCCCCGGTGGCAGTGGGGCAGCACGTGCCTGTAGGTTTTTAAAAAAAAATCACACAAGCAAATTGACCTTGTTATTATTTTGTCGTCAATTACAAACCACAAATGGAAAATCTAACTGAGACTGGGTCCAAAGCAGGCTTCCAGGGCAACGCCTTAACTACATGTACTGTCAGAGTGTTACCATACTTGTAATGGGCAAAGACCTTGACAATGGACTTAGTGCATAAACAAAAGAGGGCGCTTTGACCACTTTTTTGAGAGCCCAGTGGCATGGAAGCACCGCGTGCCACTATATTCTGAATGTGCACAGAGCCATAGCATCTTTGCATGAGAGCAGGCGTTCAAATGTCTCTGCACGTGGTATCCCCCAACCATCTCTTTCTTGCTGTTGAAGGTACTTGTACACGGAGCCAATACCTCAAGACAGGAGATTTGGAAGCGGCTTCAGCACTCCCTCAGTGGTCCAGAAGAGAAAGTTGGGGGGGAAACAGCAGGAGGGACATTTGAATGCAATTCCAACGGCTCTGATATCAAGCAGTGGAGCTCTCAAGAGTGGTGACGAAGAGCCATCTAATAATCATGCTTATTGAGTCCTGTTTGCTATTTCCCACATTTGCAGCATTGCTTATGAGGCTAGCGTCATCACTTTGGATGTGATCCCTGGCCACATGGCAATGTAAGGCTTGAGAGCTCAGTTGGTATTTCGGGAGGCCAAGGTTTCAAATCCCACTGCACTCAATCTCTCTATTCACTTTTATATTGTTGATCTTCATTCCTAAATACATGTACCGGCTACACAACCAAGTGCTTGAGAACGACTGATTCGATCTCCATATAAGGAGATGTTGAGTACACCGTGCCTCACCAGTACCACGGGCACAATAGAAATGGCCCAAACATGGATTAAAATGGTATAATAATGTCGTCGGAAGTATCAACTGTATGATTTCTTCATGGTTGTATGAAAGGTATTTATGAATGGGGATAACAGTGTGATGGAGCAGTTATCAATGTGATGTTTAAAACCGCTCAGGGGCCTGGACACCGATAATGGCCCTCACCTTCGGCTCAGGCCATTATCGGTTTTTAACCACACATTCATAAATACCTAAGACAGTTTACCAATTCCTATTGGTCGAGAACCAGTCATGTGGGTGGTTTTAAACGGTTGATAAAGACATGGCTGGCTGGTCTTAAACACTTTTCCCGTGTCACATGAAATTTGGACTCCTAAAAATCCAGTGCCTCTTACCGTTGTATTGGTTGAACGTACACAATCCTCACGTAGGCATGCGCAATACTAAGGCCTAAAAAAAAAAGTGTTATGTTGGCGTAACCCGACCGACCCTAAAAATGCGGCCGACCCTGGATATTTTTTATTTTTTTGAAGGGAAGAAATATAATTCAAATCTATAGAAATGATTTTAAATACGTTTTGAAACCATTTCTGACCGTTTCTCCTCAATTGTATGACGATAGCGCGCGTGGAACTTTGGAGTGCACAATGTTTTGCACCTTCCTCTCCATGACACAACGAACATGCAGAAGATCGCGCAGGCCTACAGGCAGTGCGCATGCGGAGATCGATGCACCATGCATGCATGATAGATGCACATGTACATGCACAGTACATGTATAGCCTCATCCTAGACTGTTGCACGGCGCGAACTGCTACATGCACTATTGCTATTTATTCCATGTTAAAAAAAATAGTTAATTATAATATACGTGTAAATTATTTTAATTAATTTTCCACTATTTTACACGATAACAATTGATATATATTTATTCTAAAAATGGTAAACTATTCTGTAACCCCGGCGGCCGACGCGACCCGGCCCGTGGTTACGCACGTACGCGCGCCGTCGCATCATGGCGCCCGGTACCGAAGCGTACAGTGTTTCCATCAAGGGCAAATGGGGATCTTCGGTCATTTTCGACCGTTTAATGCGGATAAATTTGAGTCTAGAGCTGGGGGTAATCGCCCAGAGCTGTGCCGATGGTGTAAAAGCGGGTTTAAAAGTATACAAATATTGTGTGTAGCCTTGTTTTCTTTTGTCATCGTGTACTACTACCGGCTTAATGTCATTTTCGTTGCTGGGATTAAAATTAAAAAAAAAAAAAAAAAAAAAATCCGACCTACCTACCCTATTTTTTCTGGCCCGTTACGCCAACATAACTTTTTTTTTTTTAGGCCTATAAGTGAGTCAGTATTTCATAGTCCTAAATTCACAACGCAATGCCCCAGGTGCATTCTGCGTGACATCGCGCAGTACACCCGACGCTCGCCAGTCTCCATAAAAGGAGTTGTTTACATCTTACTCGCGAGCTGGACACTCCATTATTTAGCTAGAGGGATGTTTAATAAAACAGTAAACTTGTTGAACAAAAACAGGTTTTTTGACCGAAAATTTAGATTTTTTTTGACCGATAATGTATTTATGAATGGGAATAAATTTGTGCTTGGTCGGTATTAATCACTCTGTTTAAGATTGCTTGAAGTCTGGGTGCTGATAATTACCCTCGCCTTGCGCTCGGGTAATTATCAGCACCCAGACTCCAAGCAATCTTTAACAGAGTGATTAAAACCTCCAAAGCACACATTTATTCCCTTATTTTTAACTGCTCCATCACACTATTATCCCCTTGATAACCACCACTTTGTTTGACTACAATAAAGTCTAAAACCACCATGAGTGATTGTATAAAACTCACAGGTTTCAAGCCAGGCATGGTCGGACTCTGAGGGGCGGATCTCGTGTAGTAAGGACTGGTGTTTGGAGAATCTGAAACAGACAAAAAAGGGTTTATACATTTTAAAATATCTTAAGTCAACTTAAAAACAGCCAACCTCTCAAAGGCATATCGGATCATTTCATGCATTTTGATTGTTTTCCAACAACACCACTACTCAAAATCCAAAGAAGAATATTCAAAAGCTATTAAACCTGTTGAAGTTTCAGCTCAGTGGATATTACACTTTTTGAGAAAACAGTGAAAAACCATGCACAACCTTTTGATAACGAAACACAATTTCTTCCACATCACTCTTGATTTCCAAAAATCAGTCAACTGACTGATCGTTGGAAATCACCTACATTCCTTGATTTCTTTGAAATGACAGCAAGACAGACGGAATAATTTCATGATCTTTAATCCCAGTAAGCTTTTTGATAATAAGCAGGTTACTTTTTGGATAAACGCAAATGTTCCTATATGCCTTTAAAGACAATGATGGCTTACCAGGTATATCTGCAGACGCAGGCCGCCTCCTGTCCACTTCGCTGTAGACGGACAGCGTCGGGAGGGAGTCCGGTAGAGGGGGCGGGGGCAAGGACGGAGGGAGGGTGGACGGTGGCTCGCTGGTCTCCTCAATCTCCTAGTAGGCAGAGGAAGCAAAGTAAAAGAGGAATAAGATTACTGCCATGACGCCTAAAGGACGACATTTGATGAGTGTTGCAATCAAGTCCTTTTCTGAGTTTCAAAGTATTTTGAGATGTAAGGTTGTACAGTAGGAATCAAGCTGAAGCACAAGGCTATGCTGACTTAGTACTTTAATAATGAGTGGGAATGTAAGTGTTTGGACATATGTACAGCCTTCACCGTGAGGCACATTGCAAATGTATTTTTTTCTCAGAACAGAACTGAGACTCTAGTCCGAGTCCTTTAACAAATTCATTGACATCCAGCATTTTGGGGTCCAAATTTAATTCCAACAACATGCCAACCAAGTTGTACAGTATATGTAGCATTTGGCTGAAGGGGGGGGGGGGGGGGTTCAAGAAGACTCTCAGTGCTGGAAGGTAGGAAGAATTGTTTTGGCGATCAGCCGGCCTTCAATCCAAAGGTGTGGGGGGGGGGGGGGGGGAGAGAGAGTAGCCACTCGACACTATAAGGCTATTGTAGGCACTGTACAAGGCAGAAAGTCATTGCAGAAAGTTTTTTCCTGTTTTTTCTTTTCTTTTTGGTAAATCTTCAGAAGGGGAAGGGGAGGGATTTATTTCACCATCCCGCTCCCCCACAAAAACAAAAAAGCCACTGTGTACACCCAGTCCTATTTTGGCATACCTGTCATACTCTGAAAAGGACTTTGTTACAACACTCGTGTCCAGTAACACACAGGCACGGGCAGAAATTGGACAGTTGCTCACAGCAATCTCATGCAAAGGATTTCATGATTTAGGATTGAGAAAATATCATAACCTGTTAATAGTAGCCCATTGAAAGGTTAACAAACTTTGAAGCATTCTTTAACCATTCATTTATTAATCTTTTTAGAGTAAGTGACATTTTGTTTTCCTGACCTTTTATACAGGGATCATGCACCCTTTTTGTCACCACTTTCTACACGAAATATTCCCCCCCCCCACCAAAAACCCAGAATATTGAAGTGCGGTCCTATATGTATGATAATAAACACTGCTAAAAGTTTAGAAATGACAGCCAGGAAGATGCAGTTGTAAAAACAATACTGTGAAATTGTTAAAATTTCATTATGGTGCTGCCCGTAGTACCATTCATATGTTAGTATAAAAAATACATGTACATTAAAAGTGCAATGATAAGGTATATGTATTTTTATGTAATTATTCTACAGCATTAAAAACCCTGCTAAAGGTGACATCAAGTAATTCATCACCACCACCCCCCCCCCTCCCACTGTCCACCCCCCCCCCCCCTAAGAAAAATGGAACGGGTCATTTGGTTTCAAAAATTTATTTGAATTCACTGTATTTGTGTGATGGACTATGCCATGTGAATGATATTGGTGAATCATGGTTGTGTGTTGTAAGAAAGTTAATGTGTAGTCTGTTTGGAGCCAAAATATGTAAGTGCACCTACATGTATAATGTACATCAAAGATATCTACAGGCAGTTTTCCACTGAATATGGTTGTAGTTCCAGCCAAATTATAACACAATACAAATGGGAGGGGAGTGTGGCCTAGTGGGAGGGGGTGTGGCCTAGTGGGAGGGGGTGTGGCCTAGTGGGAGGGGGTGTGGCCTAGTGGGAAGGGAAAGTGGCCGAGTGGTGATAGGTCTCCTGACTCATGATCAGAGGGTCAGGGGTTCAAATCCAGCCACTGGCCATATGTTGTGTCCTTGGGCAAGCCACTTCATCCCACTTGCCCCTCTCTACCCAGGAGTATAAATGGGCACCAGCATTAGCTGGGGAGTAACCTGCGATGGACTGGCATCCTATCCAGGGGGAGTAGAAATATTCTCAGTCGTTTCATGCTACTGAAACCTGAGATAAACGCTGGCCTGATGGGCCACATTGGCTTGGGACAGACTTTACTCCCTCTCTTTAATACAAATGGCTTTTGGAAGTTGTTGATAATAGATTTGGGAGATATCAATCTGTTCGACTTTAGAGGGAGCCTACAAAAAATGGTTCCAAATGGTTCCAAATGGCTTTTGGAAGTTGTTGATAATTGATTTGGGAGATATCAACCTGTTCGGCTTCACAGGGATCCTACAAAAAATGGTTCCAAATGGTTTTTGGAAGTTGTTGATATTAGATTTGGGAGATATCAAGCTGTTTGACTTTAGAGGGATCCTACAAAAAAATTTAACACATGGAATTCATCCCCTACCCCTCCCTCTGCCCCCCCCCTTTAAAAAAAAGGATTTTGAAAATGCTTTAAAAAACCCCATGAATTTGGATGTACATAAATGTGTAGGTGCTGTGTTAGTACCACCAAAGCCAAACAGAGTAGCATGCATTCATGACCATACCATGCAAAATTAGTATGATATGAAAATGTCTCCACACGGTGTGTAACAAAATGCTTAAAAAGGTGCGATTAAAATGTTTCATTCTGTTTTGCAGAACATCAGATTAATGTTCAGTTCCTGCTTCTTCAGATCACTAGCAGCTGGCTGGGACTACAGATACAAAACTTAGCGATGATAACCCTATAACTCCCTAGCGTCTTTTACTAGGAAGTGGACCAAGTCCATCAAAATCCATCAATCACTGTACTACCAATACAAAACTGAACATAACTTTGTAATGGAATCCACCACTGTCGCACTGGTCGACATTCATGGACTTGCTACACGTGGCCTTTATCACAACAGCAGTACAGGAAGCTGGGCAAAATCAATCGGATACCCTTAGCACTGCTTCAGGCCATTAGGCCCAAATCCATCAGGCCTTCTGGACCAAGTCCCCCAAAATCCACCAAAATGGGGGGATGGATTTTGATGGAGTTGGGGTGGTTAGGGTTAGAGTACTTAAAGTGTGCGATGAGACGTTGTAGTTGAATGAGTGAAACTTAAGTGAAAACACGAACTCAAACTTGAAATGGCTTTCATCTTGAAGTGAAAATGACAAAATTGGCATGAATTATATAAACTTTGGAAGGAAAATTGAAAATGTTGAGAATTTTACTTAAACTTGAGTGGCTGGGCATACACAGTGTAAGAAGTGAAAGATGAAATGCCAGAAATTCAAAATAATTCACAATTGTACCTCCGGAAATACAAACACTGTTGGTGTCTGAGACAGTCAGTGTAAGCATGCATGAAAAGCAAGTCAAACAAAAATATACATTATGTACAAGTTCACAGTGAAACAACCTACAAGAACGATTACATTAGATAAACAAAAAAAGGTTAAATTTTATCAATGATTGCTGAGGGTGTGGGGCATATTGCAGAACACGCAAAACTGTGCAGAACAACGTAGAGTGAAGACAGAAAGTATTATATATAACTGACATACAGATCCTTGTTATTTGATTGGTGGAACTCGCATCACGTGACATTCGTTATTACTCCCATTCACACCGGGGCTGAAAAAGTCCCATTCGCCCATGGGGAATGGGAAATACTATTGAACAGTTAGGATCATTCTTGTTCCATGACGCGGTATTTGTGTACAAATGCATGCTGGTGTGCGCGTTCAGCGTTGTGCGTAGCGCGTATTGTTCCAAAGAGCCAGCCCTACAGAGTTGGGTTCAAACATTTTTGTGAAGGGGTGGTTTGGAAGAGAGAAATACATTTTGCACCAATTTTGTATTGAAATAAAAGTTCAAATATTTCAAATGAGAAGGATCTATATTTATGTCAGTTATATAAAACAAATATTGAGTGGCTTTATATTGTGAAATGGGAGGAATATTATCGCTAGGTAAATCTGGACTTTTCCAGTTCACTCGGCTTCGCCTCGAGAAATCAAAAAGTCCAGATTTTAAAAATGTGCTTACTATGGCAGAAAATTGTCCTAACTGGGAATATACAACACTTGCAAACATCAAAAAACAAAACTACCAAATTATTATGAAATACCTTACTGGACTGTTAGTGAATGACGGTCTTAAGCATTCTGTAAAATCATGGTATTGACATTTTCAAGAAAAGTGGTATTTTTGGATCAATTTGCACACTGGTTGGCAGAACAGCATTGGAAAAAAACTAGCTTTTTTTCAAATACTGCCCCCAATGTACCATATTTAGTTAGTCCACATTTTGTTTGCAATCGATATTACACACCCATGAACGGGTACAAGCCAGCTACGGTAGATTGGTTCCCTGACCTTACTTTTCCCCGACACCTATAAATTACTCCATTTCATCTAAGTGGGGTCAGGGAACCAGACTACAAGAACATAATTGTTTTTCTTGGTTTTTCCAGCATCTATGAACACAAAACTTCAAACAGGTCAGTGTAACAATATTTGATTTAAAATACTAAACCCCAAATCCATCCATTTCTGAAAATTACAGCAAAAGCAAATGTTGTGTATTCCCTTTAAGATGTTTAAGCACTATTTCATGACGTGGTTTCGTTAACGGTTGCGTGCACTGATTTAGGTAAATTTTTCATCTGAGGTAAACGTGCATGTTTGTGTGCTTACTGCTTACAGTCTCCGTGAAATAGACGACGGCATTGTTAGCAGAAAATTGTGAGCTTAGCAAATCGTTAGCTATAAAAATTGGGCCCTGCTGTTTACAGACCACAGATTTTGGTAGTCGGCTTAATAAGTTCTGCAAGTTCCTCATTTATGAATTTGAGCTATTTTGTCTTTATTTTGTTTTTCTGTTTTATCTGTGTTATGCATTGTTCTGCCTGTTCTGCAAAATACTTACTATTACTAGTCTAGGGTCTCCAAAGAGAGTGCATATCTAAATTAACAAGGGACAGGGGGGACCCACCCGCCCCGTCCCCCCACCCCCACCCCACATTTTAAAGCGGGGGACATTGTTGGTCCCCCTCCCCACTTTTTCTTCCCCGAATAAAAATTGTAGCCTACAATAATTATTCTATTGCTCAGAATACATGTAGCTGATTCAATTACTCCAAACTGAAAACTTTAAAAGATGATCTTTTGCTCAAATTAGTTTTAGTGGTCAGAAATTGCCTCAGATCACACCACAGAAATTGCTTTTCTATAAATGCATGTCTCCTCAACTATATCCCCCATTTACATTTAACTCCCCACATTTTCATCCCCAACACTGTGGCCTTACCCGATCTATGATCGGGTAAATCAGCTTGTTGTAAATATATTGTAACGTCTCTCTGGGTTGAGAGACATTATCAAATAAAGAGTCAGATACAAATATCTTACACACACACACTAGTACTTTATTCGGGATTATTTACATCTCAGGTCAATAGAGGGCGCACTATATACAATGTAAAGTTAAGGCGTACATGTGTACATGTCAGGAACTCTGTCGGGGTCAGAGCCCAGATCATCCATCTAATGCATGGTATGCGGGAGCTCTGTGTAGGTCAGAGCTCAGCTCAGGAATCTACTGGGGAAGAGCCCAGTACAACAATGACCAGAACTGCCATTTCTGCGCGCTTTATATAGACTTTTGGGGGCGCGTCTTAGCCAATGGGAGCATTGGATTCTGGTGGTTATGAATAATGCATACGTGTACAAAGGCATGGGGAAAGTTCTCTATGGGAGATTTGTACACGCTGACTTAGACATTCTAGTGGAAGAAAGTCCGAGAGCAGTGGTTAGCGGGCGAAGTAGGATCACTCGTGGGTGCGTTACGGGGAACTGATCCTCAAGGAAAAGGGAAAGGGAATAACTTCTCGGTACATAGGTTTGTGTACAAGACTTAGTCTCTAGACTAGGTAAGAATCTACACACTAATGCTATGGAGTAAAACTATGAGATGAAGGACGTAACCTGACCTCTGGCTACCGTAGGTCTCGGCCAGTGGGTTAGCGGGACACACTCGCTGGGGTGTACGGGGTCACTGAGGGGTGAATACACGGGTAGGTTTTAGCGAGCCACATTCGCTAAATGCTTCGGGTCAATGTGGGTCAGATGCGAGGTAAGGTGTGTGAGGGGAATTCGCATCGACTCCGGGGAAAGGTGGAGGGAAAATGGCTAAGTCCTAAGTACATGTCCCATGGCGGTACATGTTCAGTAGCTGTGAGTGCTACCTGCATTGCGCGCTATACAATAGCGTACTGTACAATGTGCTGCACACTTGTACGTGTGTCTAAGACTTCGTGGTAAAGCTTCGCGCTGTGTGAGGGCACACAGGATCGCTGCAAGCATTACACTGTGCACGGAGTGGAATGGATTGGTTAGGAAAGAAGTAAACTACGCAATTTGCGGGAACGCAACACTATCTCCCCCTAGTTTTTACAACGTCCTCGTTGTAATAAAAGGAATTACTGAATAACAAGAGTTAAGAAAAATCAAAGATAAATGGAGCGCTAAAAACATGCAAAAAGTGTAAAACTTAAAAGTGAACATAAAGAAAACAACGAACGGTTACATTTCCTTTAAATGCGGATAAATGAGAGATAATCAAAACAAAAAGAAGGTAAATATTCATCTAGAACGACGAAAGTAAAAGTTCAGTGTCCATATCGATGGAGGGAAAAACACTGAGTTCATTCACTCGGCGCAGTTCATCGACCATGAATAAGCGTCGTGGAAATGGGGCTGGGAGACTAGAAATAATCCTGAAGTCTCGCTGGCCTTCTCTTAGAACGGGTACTCCTCCTCTCTGACAAGGGCGAAGTTCCTGTCGCAGAGGGCGCTACAGTTGGTTTCGGGGAACCAGATACTGTAGCAGGCGGGGTTGATGAGGGGTCATCAGCGCATTTGGTGCTGGATGTTTTCCTGGCGTTACTGCGGGGGACAGCATCATCCTTTGAGAGAGAACCCTTCTCCATCAAAGTTTTACGAAGGTCCAGCATCCATTTTGGGACCTCGTCACTGAGATACTGCTTAAGTCGGTCATGGTGAAGAATTTTTGTTCTTCCCCGTTGCTTGAACCGGACTTCAAACAGAAGATCACTCAATGTTCTGAGAATGACGCAGGGGCCTGCCCATTTAGCTCGTTTTAGCTTGGGAGATAACCCAGCGGTTTTTGTGCTGTCTCGCATGTACACCAAGTCACCAATTTGATAGTTTCTTTGGGAAACTCGGGGATCGTGGTCTTTCCTCTGTCTTTCAGCGGATTTTCCAAGATGTTGACGAACCAGATGATGGACGGTTTCCATCCGTTTCCTCACGGATGCAACATACTCGCATTCATCTAACGGTTGGTCCTCTGTGTTGGGGCCACCGAGTACAAGCGCAATTGGTAGATGGGTTTCTCGACCTAACATCAGCATATTAGGCGAGTAACCTGTAGATTCATGCTGGCAACTTCTGTACGCTGAAGTTAGAAGTGGGAGGTGGATGTCCCAATTGCGTTGGTCACTGTCAACATACACTGCGATCATGTCAACCAGAACTTGATTGAATCTCTCCGCCTGTCCATTGGCGGATGGATGGTATGGGGAAGTTCGAGTCTTGTGGATTTCCAAAAGCTTACAAACTTGTTGCATGAGATGAGACTCATAAGTTCGGCCTTGGTCGGAGTGAATGTCAAGGGGTGGGCCAAAACGGGAAATATATTCGTAGACGATTTTATGAGCCACCGTCTCTGCCTTTTGGTCGGGAATCGGGTAAGCCTCCATCCACTTTGTGAATTGGTCACCGACTAAAAGGATGTATTTGTTCCCATTGTCACTGATAGGGAATGGACCAAGGATGTCCGTGACTAGTCTGTCCATCGGTGCGCCGACTCGATAATCCTCGAGGTGTGCTCTGGGGGTTGCGTGTGGCCTTTTGCGGGCACCACACTTAGCACACTTGCGGACCCAGTCACGAACTGTTTCCTTAAGCCTGTACCAGTAAAACTGGCATTTGATTTTCTGAGCAGTTTTCTTCACCCCGAGGTGAGCAGAGGTGACGGCGTCGTGTGCAGCTTGAAGAACGGCACTCTGCAGTGCTTGAGGAATCACAAGTTGCAGGTAAGATTGGGTCTGGTCAGGAGTTACCCATCTTTTAAAAAGAACACCGTCTTTTAGCACCAGCTGTTGCCATAGCAACCACAGGTTCCTAGTGGCGGGACTTTCGCGTGCTATCTGGTCTCTGCTTGGTCTCTCAGGTGATTTGGTCATCAACTCCATGATGATCCTCAGGTCTGGATCTGCTCTCTGCAGTTTAGCTATTTCCTCTGTCGTGTAGC